TGCTTTACATTACATATACAACCTTCTGCAATGCAACTATCATACAATTAGCTTCTCTATATCTGCGTGCAAAACATTTCTGCCCCTCAACAACAACTAAGAGAAGTCCTATTTGCATTAAGTAACCACTAAGTGATAACATAATAGGGTCATCGTTGCACAGTATTACTCCGAAAATTTTCAGCAAACCATTGGAAAACCTTGGGTTTGCTAATGGTTTGCTATATAATAGGATAATCTCGCTAGAAAACTTTGTTTGATGTTTTTGCGGTTACAATGAAAATATTAGGCTTTTTACTTGTTTAAATTATATGGGCCTATTATTAGCTTCTTTCTGTAGATAACGAATGAATGGGAGTTTAGAGTGGTCTGATAAGGCTGATGTAAATGTAGTATAAGGATTCTGATATATTAGCTATCAGATAGTTAAGCCAGGAGGAAAAGAATGATACTGTGGATGGAGAGAAGGAGGGTCAAAGGGCACGCTGTGTAACTTCGAGAACGGAGTTTCACTGACCGATGAATATTTAGTTGAAGGTATTGCAGGGCATTGTATTTGGAATTTTGTTCGATTTGTAGAATATCTGTATGTGAAGAATGAACTTGTTTTCAGTTCTCATTTTTACTTCTGTTTCTTGTATTTTTTTTTCGCTTTTTCTTTTACTTCTAAAATACTTCACTTTTTATAAAATATTGTAGATAAAGTTCGCTTCAGCTATGCTTCCAGTACAAATATTAAAACAAAATGCTCATGAAGAACGAGGTGAAGGAGCACGTTTATCATCATTTGTTGGTGCAATCGCAATTGGTGATTTAGTAAAGTCTACATTGGGACCGAAAGGAATGGTTAGTTAATTGTTTCAAAATGCAAAATGTTAAGAGAATTTTATATTTTTTATGTCGTTTTTGTATGGATATTGAGAATTTATTGCAGACAATTTGACAGTTTGTCTATGATAATTCTGATGATTGTGTTAAGTATTTCTTGTAAAGCTTCTTCCATTACATGATGCATTAATTGTTTAAAAACAGGAAGTCTTTAGGGTTCAAGGTTCAGTTGTTTTGTGTATGTGTTTTTCTTCTTTTTTCTCATACTCGTGGATCTCGAATTTATAATACATTTAAGGATAAGATTTTGTTGTGTGGTGAAGGTGACTCACAGCAAGTGCAGGTAACAAATGATGGAGCTACTATTTTGAAAGCTATTGGTGTTGACAATCCAGCTGCGAAAGTTCTCGTCGGTAAGTGAATGAGGTTATTAGTAGTTAATTTTCAGAGTGCTCTCTTTAAGGCAGAAATTCTGGTGGATTATGACCGTTACTGAGCATAATACTGATATTGAGGATAAACTCGTAATTTGGAAATCATAGTCATCCATCAGTCTCTACTTTTTTCACTTTCATCTGTGCTTTTTTTTTCCTGGCAATATGAAGTTCTTATTACTTAGAAATTTCGATGACACAAGATTCGGAAGTGGGTGATGGAACAACATCAGTGACCGTTCTTGCTGCTGAGCTATTGAAAGAAGCCGAACGACTGGTTGCTGCCCGAATTCATCCACAGACAATTATTGCTGGCTATCGACGAGCTTTAAAAATAGCCCAAGATGCGCTCCGAGCATCGGCTAAAACTTCTAGTCCAACAGATATGCGTGATGACTTGTTGAAAATAGCTCGAACAACACTGGGTTCCAAGATTTTAGCGCAACATAAGGAACATTTTGCTCAACTTGCCGTTGATGCTGTGTTGCGTCTGAAAGGTTCTGGATGTCTGGAATCAATTCAGATTATCAAAAAACTGGGTGGTTCGATGGATGACAGTTATCTGGATGAAGGTTAGAGTAAAAGATATGATGTGGAAAAAATTATGTCAGTTATTATGAGACTGGATTATGGAACTGTTGTTTGGTAAGGATATTTAATTCCCTTTCCAAGAGCAGACCCTTGTTGATGACTTCATCTATAAGATCGATTCTCTTGGTAAATTGTATACTTCTCATTGTATTCGCTATTCGTATCAAAGGCGATAGTGATTGCTTAACAGAAGTGACACTATTATTTCCTAGCAATTTCTTTTTTTTTTAGTTTTTTTTTTAGTTTATTTCTTTTTAGTTATTAAAACATTGCTGCATGCGGTTCATTTCCCATTTTAAGGGTTTTTGCTTGAAAAACGTCCAGGCATGTACCAACCAAAAAAAGTTGAAAATGCAAAAATTCTGATTGCTAATACGCCGATGGATACCGACAAGGTTTGTTTATGCACTGTTTAGTGGATGGGGCTGAAAGTCTTAAGTAAATAGAAGTAGTATTGCTATCATTTTGAACGCAAACAGCGAAATTACTATTCCATTATCTCATAGTTCAGTATGCATTTTTTTGTATTTGCTTGAATATATCTACTATAATTAGGTGTATCTTTGCTCAGGTAGTTCCGAATTTCTAGAATTTGTAGTTTACGGAACGCATCCACTGTTAGTGGCGCTTGCCGTCCTTGAGTCAATCTGGGACTTTTTTTTGGATCTTAGGAATATATAAATCTGTTAGAAGGAAACAATTTAATTTCTAGGTGAAAGTATTCGGTTCAAGAGTGCGTGTTGATTCTGTAGCTAAAGTTGCAGAACTGGAAGTTGCTGAAAAACAAAAAATGAAGGACAAGGTTGGTTTACGAATTAGACAGTTTAGTTTGTACTATTAGCAATAGCATTTTCAAAAATCATCCTTCACGTCAATTCAGATGGTCTGAAATCAAATTCCTATTGCAGGTAAATAAAATCCTAGCACATAAAATTAACGTATTTATCAACCGTCAGTTGATATACAATTATCCGGAGCAGCTCTTTGCTGATGCTGGTATCATGGCCATCGAGCATGCCGATTTTGAAGGAATAGAAAGACTCGCTCTTGTTCTTGGTGTGTTTTCATGACCTTTCAATTCAGCAGATTCTATTTTTACCTGTTAAAGGTTCTATTTCATTATTTATAGGTGGTGAAATCGTGTCAACATTTGATTCACCTGAATTAGTTAAACTTGGTTCTTGTGATCTCATCGAGGAAGTTATGGTTGGTGAGGATCGGCTGCTGCGATTTTCTGGTGTTCCTATTGGTATGAGTAGATCTTTGTGAAGTATCTTTAGCGACTTTTTTTATTGTCTTTTCCTGACAGTTGAATTCATTTTCTATTTTTATCAGTATTTGAAAATATATTTAGTTCTTTTTTTGTGATTTACTGGATTGCACAAATTATTGCTTTATTACTCTTTGTAGGTGAGGCTTGCAGTATTGTTGTCCGTGGTTCTACTCAACAAATTCTTGATGAAGCGGAAAGATCACTTCATGACGCGTTATGTGTCTTAGTGACTCATATTAAGGAAGCACTCACTGTCGCCGGCGCAGGAGCGTCCGAAATTTTGATGAGCACTGCAGCGATGTCCGAAAGTCAGAAGGTATCAATAACAATTAAATTGAAATATACTCAATTCATCAATAGCTGAAATAAAGATTTTAAAACTGAGGATGATTTGGCTACTTTTTCTAATGTTTCGTATAGTAAGTTTCTCAAATTAAGATTGCTGGGAAGGAGTCGCTTGCTGTAGAGGCATTTGCTCGTGCACTGGCACAATTACCAACTTACATTTGCGATAATGCTGGTCTGGACAGTGCAGAAATCGTATCAAAGTTACGTGCTTACCACAGCAATAATAATCATAGCATGGGAATTGGTTAGTTCGTGTGTTTTCTTGATCATGCATGGTCAGTGTCTGATTTTTAGATATATTGGAAGGCGAGATAACTTTTGATCTTTTCATCTATAAAATGTATACATGACACATCACTTCGAAAAAAATGTTATGCACACGTAAAAGAGATATTAAATGGAAAATGAGGTAGTAATGAGGTGTCTTTGATTACAGTTACTTAGAATAACTGTTCGATACCTTTTATTTTCAGTTATCAACAATAGCATACTGCGAAACACATGATTTCGTTCGAAGTTATTGCCGTGTACAAATTTTCAGATATTGAAAAAGGGGAGCCAACGGACGTTATTGAAAAAGGTCTGATCGAGTCGTTCAGTGTAAAGTTGTGTATGGTTTCCAGTGCAGCAGAAGCGGCTGAGCAGGTAAAATGTTTGAATTGCAATTATTTCTGAAGGACTGTGTGCAATATCATATTGTCACCGTAACTTTAAGTTTGGAAATAAAACTGTTTTATAACTTACAGATTCTTCGTGTGGACAATATCATCAAAAGCGCACCACGACAACGAGCGCGCGATCGTAGACCTTGTTAAATCTCAACAAAAACTGATTCTATTGTTTGTTGACTGCTAAAATTTATGTGAGTTAAGTAATACTATAGTAAATCCAAAGGATCGTTTTCATAACTCACCAATTTTCAAATTCAAAAATTTGGTGAGCTAAGAAATGAATCACCTGTTTGATTCTTTCTCTGCTTTTGAATTCGATATCTTTAGTCGCTATTTTTTCAGCTGAACTGTTTGATATAAAGTTTGAGTTTTGTGAGATATTACTGCTGAATTGCCTATGATTATTTGGAAAATAAACCTTTTCTTGATTTTAGTTTGATGCACATTAATGATTTGCATTTTCTAAGTCTCAAATTTCCAGCTGTATGCTGCAATCTTTTTGTTTTTAAGCAAATCACGCGCAAAATCGTTTGTGCGTTGATTTTTGCTGCGCAATAACTTTTAACATCTAACAAGCACAAAGCCTTTAATCTTTCTTCCGTTGACCCAGGCATAATCAGCTTCTCTAACCAAATTATTCTTTGATATTTAATCAATCGAATAAACATGTGTTTATATGTTCTGAAATACTTAGCAAACAGTTTGCATTATTCTCAATTTGGAATCGAACTACACATAATAATTCTAATTTCAAAATGCCAATGCTACTGTGAAGCAGTCATTTTGATTATTTGTGTTCATTTGGAACGGTCTCTGATAGCTGTTAAGTGATATAAACGTGAAGTATCAATATTAATGGGGAGTGAGGATAGTGATGATAAGATGCCAACTGTTGGTTCAGAGGTCACATTAAAAGGCAAACAGTATCATATTCAATCAGAGCTGTATGATGGGCCTTTTAGCAAAGTTTATGCTATCAATGAAGGTTGTATGCAATATGCTATGAAAATTGAACGAAGAGCAGGATCAAAAAGGTAATTTTGTTTTTTCTTGCACCGAAGCTATTTATATTGTTGGAATATTACAAATAACTGCAATAAAGAAAGACGATGAAATGCTTGTGACACTATGAACATTCAAATAATGAAAATTAATTATGGAAGGAAAATGTTACCTTTGTTTTTAGAAAAATATGTTCTTTATTTAATCTAGAATCTAATGCAAAATTCGTTAAATTAAATAGTGTCATTGTTCTTTTTTTGGATAAAAACTTTTAAAATGTGTTTTAATGAATGAATTGATTATTTCTACTCTTCAATGAATATGCTGATTTTAGTGCAATATACATATATATGTATATGATGAAACAAAGATAATTTTATCTATTAATAGGCCTGTATTGAAACTAGATGCATTAGTGCTAAAGCAACTAAATCGTCAAAATATTACTGCTGGTTTTCCACGTTTAATTGCTGCTGGTAGAACACCACTTTATAAATATATTATAATGGAATTGGTTGGCCCAGATTTACAACGTTTAAGACGCTCAATACCAACAAAAAAGTGAATAAAAATTTTCATTTATTACTAAAAATTTTGACTCAAATATTATTAGATTTTAGTGAAGTTGTTATACTTCATTTTCATTTCATCATTTTCCTTCATTAAATTTTTCAGTGTAGTAAAATAAAAGTATTAAACATATCGTAAATTGAAATAGTATGAATGAACTATCTTATGAAAAAAAAGCACAACAACGTTATGTGACTTCTAAAATACTTGACCTTTTTCTTATTTTTAATAATTAAGATTTCAATTAAACTACTACTCTCAACAACGTTCAATTATTGTTTTCAGTTACACTAAGGAATTATTCCCTTTTTTATATCTTTATAATGAAAGAAATTTGGGAAACATAATTTGATCATCATCTTTCGCATTTTTTTTTTCTTTTGTTTCAGATTCAGTTTGTCAACAGCGCTTAAACTTGCATCTCAAACACTGAGACGTATCGAAGCGCTTCACGATAGCGGTTGGCTTTGTCGTGATGTTAAGGCAAATAATTTTTGCATTGGAAAGAAAAATATGGGATTAATTTATATGCTTGATTTCGGTTTTGCACGAAGATTTATGTTAGTCTGATATGTTAACTAATCTTACTTTATATATGATAATTAATCTTATTTTATAATTAATTAATTAATATCCTATTAGCTTGGAACTGACCCTTTATAATGAAATAACAATATAAATATAATCATTCTATTATTAAAATTAATGTAGTCGTGAAAATGGTACATTGATTGAGAGACGAAATGCGGCCAGTTTGATGGGTACAATATATTATGCACCGATGAGTGCACATAATTTTTCGGAACAATGTCGAAAGGATGACCTGGAATCATGGTTTTATATGATTATTGAGATGGTTGTAGGTAAGCAACATAAGTTATATCTACAATTAATATAATTAATAAAAATAATCCTTTATTAAATCAAAAAAATTCAAATTTGTCAAAGTAGTTTTCAAATTCCTTATTTGTTAAAGAGAAAAAATAAAAATAAAAGAGAAATATGAAAAATGAACAAATTGAGCAGCTGAACGTTTATTTTGTAGGAAATTTGCCATGGTTTATCCATGATCCCAAACGAGAGTACTTGTTAGTTGGTGAATGGAAAAAATTTGCACGTGGTCCTGGTAGAAAGTTGTTGCTTGGTGATTCACCTCAGGAATTTGAGAAAATTCTTGATATCATCGACCAAACTGCGTATTTTTTCCCCAAATTTCTTATTTTATTCCAGAAAAAGACTTTGTCCCTTTGATTTCCTTGAGAATTTCTACAAAATTATAGAAATATTTCAAAATACTTTGAAAGGTTTAGATTTAATGCCCGACCGCGATATCGTGTTATTCATGCTTTTATCAATCAAGCAATGGATCGCCTAAAGGTACAAAAATTGTCAGCAATGTTAACAGTATAAAAAACTTCCGAGGTTCAAAGTGCTCCAAATTGTACTTGATAATTACTAGCATGAAAAACTCTTGGAATGAAATCCTGCACTCTTCGGAAAATCAATCCTCTTTTAAGATGTGATTTGCATATTCAGATTGACAAAACTAAACCATTTGAATGGCAAGAAGACCCGAAAGTGCTGAGAAAAATTGCTATGATTGGTGGGCACGATGAATCCAATTTAGACAGTTCTTCTGAAGAAACAGATGAAGGAGACGGACCTTTAAATGTGTCGAATAGCTAACAACCAGAAAGTATCACATTTCCCGTTGTAAGAAACTACTCAATTTCATAAAAAAATTTGTGAAACAGCCAAGTTTGATTTGTACAGTATCACTTTTGTAATGCGTCTTATATCAATCACCAGTCTCTAAGATGTACATATTTATATTGCGTTTGATTATAAATTTCAACTTTACATTATTATAGTGCGGTAAGAACCATAATATAATTTTTATAGCTCGTTAATAAGCTCTGTTCTCAATCAACTCATAATGAACATCTATTCTACATTTGTCTAGTCCTAAGTAATGATCTAAGCGACTCGTAATCACTTAACAAAATTTGCAAAATAACTGACCTAATGTAACAATTTATTTGGTGTAATAACAACAAAACATGAATGCGCAGGCATTACTGAACACAAAAAATACAGAGGACATAATTCTGTTCAGCAAGAAAGAGAAAGAAATAGTTTCTTTTCCTTTAAATGAGAAATCGTTCGTCCAAAAAATTAGAGAAACATGCAATTGAAGGAACGAATTTTACTGAACACTGCCTCTAAATAGAAAACACAAGAATTCTACTTATTCTCCTGCTTCAATTACATATTCACTTCACTTGTTTGAAGTGAATATGACCCTGTCTTCTTAACAACTGAATACTATCTAAAAAAAATAATATTGTGAAAATTCACGATGCCGTAAATTCTTTTGCCATATGTTTCAAGTGTTCCGGGATATATGGAACAGCACCAGGTTTCGAATGCTTTCTTCTATTTTCTTCCTTGCGCCGCTGCGATAAATTTATTGCCTTATGCTCTTTTGTAGCACTAAAATTGAGAAAATCTTTTGAAAGCATAGGTGTTGAATTGGGAATTTGTAACCAAATATATGACTTTTTGTCACAAGATTAAAAACTCGAAGTTTACGCATTATTTTTGTAAATGGAATTAGGTATCATAATGCAAATATGTTAAATCTCCTTAAAAAAAAAAAAAAAAAATACGTGTAAATTGATCTCGGAACGAAACGACGCTTCACAATTCGCCTAACTTCAGGGTGTTCACCATATACTTCCAACAGTCGCGCATTGTAATTAAGTGTTGCACGTTCACGTCGGTGTAGCTAGAGTAAAATTAATTAAGATCTTATAGAACGTTTTTGAAATCAAAATTTTAACGAGTGCCAAAACTGACTAAACGGAAAAAAAATAAAATAAAACACCTACTGGGCCTAATTTTTCACTTGCATTTGCTTTCCATAAGCGAATGTTCATTTCATCAGAGCCAGACAGCACGAACTTATTATCTAGTGACCACAGCACAGAAAGGACTTGCTGCATTCGCTTCGTGTGATATATTTCCCTTAAAAGCATTCGTTAATTTTAATCCTAATTAGCAGCGAACGAATTGCTATCACTAAATGTTTCAATTTTTGAACAGAAAGAGCAAACCAAATGAAATTATACCGGCTGCTAAATGACTCCACGGGAAATATTCTTAATGAACGATCGTAGCTTCCAGAAACAAATTCAGTTCCTGTCGGTGAGTAGTCGACATCCATCACTGCATTTGTATGACCTTTGTATACGCGCCGAGGATCAGTCAGTTTTCGAATATCAAAAGTATATAAGCTAAAAAAAAAAAATTCCAAGCAAAATTAATGTTGAACAACAATACTGAAATAAAAATAATAAAAAGGAAATTCCAAGTAATAATAAAAGAAAAAATTACTTGTAGTCTTCGTTTGCGGCAGTGAATGTAAAAGCTTCCATTGGATTCCAGCTTATCGCATTTGGACGCAATTTCATTGTCACCTGAATGAATCTCATGTTGAAAATAGCGGGTGACGACAACAACAATAACACCAATATCCTCAATTGGTCATTTTGCCTCTTTTATTAAACTGCTCAAATTCAATTAACGAAGCCAAGTCAAAATTCAAAAGGAAAAAAACTCACTTTTTTTAATGGACATTTCTGTCTTGTATCCAATAATACAATCGTCCGATCACTACCACAACCGACTATAATCTCTGGTTCGACAGGATTACATTTGACTGTGTAAACTGAATCAACGCCCAAGTTATATATTCGGATTGGAGAGTCCCTGAAGCATAGATATCTTTACATAAATACTCGACATCTTTAAAAAATCGATCGAAAGAGAAAATAAAACATTCTTAGCATTTGTTCAGCTTACCTTAATTTATTCCATACATGGATACCCTCGCCACATGTGACGTAGTCAGTACTATTCACAACATGTGACACGGAATGAGCAACACCATTAAGGGGTATCGAATGTATAGGTTCTGAGAGATCGCCTTCAACCGGATCGGGACATCGCCAGTGTTTTAGCTGTGAGTCGTGTCCAACAGTTATAACAGTTTCACCCGAAAGATTATCACACGAGATCCCTTAAGCCATAAATTATTAAAGACAAAGGGATAAATCACCACTTTCTCCTAACCTACTATCATCCTTAATTAAAAGAAGTTACATGAAATAAAACTGGTGAAATAAATTTTACTGTCTACTTTGAAGATACCGTAAAGTTTTACCATTAACAGGCCCACTATGCGCTTGTATCGTTGCCAGACATTTATGTAACGGCAAATTCCATATCCGTATCTGACCATCTCGACCACCAGACAAAATTGTTGACAATCTAAAATGTAATTATTATTTATTCTTAAAACTTACATAAATAAATTCAATCAAGCAATTAAACCAAGTTTCATCGTTTATAAGAAAATAAAAAAGACAGACCTGAGAGGATGCTTACAAAGCACTGAAACGCCATCATTGTGACCGTCCAGACTTGAAATGAATGGTTTTGCAAAGACCCTTAAAACAATGAACAGTTTTATTCAGTACAAGTAAGACTCATCATGTATGATAAAGACAATACAAATACATTTTTTATGTTTCAACCTGTTTAGTTTAGCAGCATTGACCGCTCGTGTATACTCTACTTGAACTTGAAACGGATCCTCCGGTAAATTAAAGTTTCGCGGTGCTGAAATTCTTTGATTTTTACATGCGAATGCCGTCTAGATGTCATAATTTCTCTTTGATTGCTTCACTTTCATTGTCTTGAATAATATAAAATGAAGTTGATAATAAGTTGTTTTGTATTTTATTTGTTCGTCCAGCTAATGATTACTTATAACATTTTCTAGGTATTACTTATATCCATAATTCCTCTATTTGGTAGACATTTACAATACTCAGCTGTATAATCGGATCCATTAATAAACTACAAATGAGATAAAAAGAAAAACCAGGCAAAAGTAGCAATATGTCTACCTTTGTAAATATCATTTTTTGTCTCACGCTGGTAATCCCTTGGATTTCGTGACAATACTTTCACTCTCATCGAGATGGACCAGCAAAAGAGCACAACTACAGAAGCAATACCAATTTCTCAATGGAGTCAATTTTTAATAGTGCATTGTTAAAATACATTATGCAACTGATACGCTTCATTCGGTATATCTTCATTCGGTATATGCAACTGATATATCTTCCAGCAAGTATTGTATAAATCGTCACTCAGTGATAAGCATGATAATAGTTGTTACTGCTGATTGATGGTGAAAGCATTGTTGTTACTATCATTATCACCATCAACACTATCTCCTATCATTATCATTATTATCACCATTATCATTGTTATCATCTCATTGAAAAATAAAATCAAAGAAAAATATTTAAATTTTGAAAAAATAATTGCACGAAAACTGTAATATCGAATTGAATGTTGAAAAATGGTTTTATTGGGTTCAATGTCCCATCTTGCCATCATATTTGTGAGTTCGATCTTTTTTTCCTTTTTTTTCTCAATCTCTTATACAATGATATTATTAAATATAAAGCCAATTCAACCAAACCATTCTTTTCAATATCAAATAAATTCTTTTAATATTTACCATAACTATTCTTAATTATAAAATAATTGCTAGTAATAAATTAACAAATTACATTTATATTCTATTAAATAATCATGGGAGGGAATATGATTTTCTTCTTCTAATTTATAGGATTTTCATAAATAAATAAATCAACAAATGCTCTACGAATTAATTTATCTTTTCTTTGCTTCAACAATTCAAGCAGCTACATCACCATGTTCGGATGAATTTTCTGCAACAAAATGTTTGAATGAGATGGATGATGTGATTTGTCAGGAAACATTTCCAATTAACGAAGCCTTGTTTGTTTCAATTTTATCTTTCATTGAGTTCTAAATATAAATATTTAGATGAAAATAATTTTGCTAACTTTTCAAAATGATATTATTTATATTTTGTAGTCCAGTAGTAAATGCACACTGTACAAATTTCAAATCGCACAAAGTTGAAAAGTGTCGGAAACAGTGTCGTAGTTGCTGTCAACATCCAGATTTCATGTGTACTGATAAGAAAGGTCCATTTGATTATTATCTAATAGTTTGCTAGATAAAATTCATATGCATAATTTATATGCTAAGATTTTCTGGTTGGCTTAGCAATTTGACTTCTTCCAATCTTAATTTCATATATCAGACGAAGCAGTAAAAGTTATTTTTCCTATTTATAAAGTTTTAAAAGTGTTTTGAATATTTTTTTATCATTCCAGATTCTGCTCTGAATTGTCGTACGATTGCAGAGAAAGGTCACTGTACTACAACAGATGTCACATTTAAAGCGATCCTAGCCGTAGAATGCGCTGGTAGTTGTGGCTTATGTAGACATGCTGGATGCATGGATAATAACTATTTGTTGTGTTCTATGCTTCAGAAACTCTGTGACCTATCAGATTACTATGAACTTATGGTGAAAAAATGCAAGCGTACGTGTAATTCATGCGCTATTGGTTTGTTTATCTTTCGTCTCAATTATGTATCATATTTTTTTCTTTTCTTTTTTTTTTTTCATTTTGCAAAAATCATGATAATACTATAACATGATAAGGTGAAAAAGAAGTGAAAAAAAGTGACAAAAATAATTTATCCAAATCTAGTCTTTTATGTTTTCAATAAACTTCTTTTAACTTTCTCCACCATCTATCTCACCAGTTTATTTAAATTGTTGGCTAACTATTTTTAGTGATAATTTCTCCAGGAGGTATCTTTTCATTCTTCATCTTACAACACATATAATTTTTGTTGCTTTAAGATTACACTTTTTTTTGCAGATATGCAATATCCAGGTTGGGTTTACAATAAAGAAACAAAGGCTCATTATAAAGTTAGCTTGCTAAAATTTCTTCCTTCTTTCAGAAATGTAAACTTTTATATAAGTTAAGTTTTTGGGAGTATATTTAAACTCAAAATTAGCATCCATTAAATTGAGAATTGAACTCTGTACAAGAAAATATTGAGATGTTCACCTTGCTAAAATTCCTTTACACCTTAATTTTTTTTCAGTTATTGCCATATTTCGTATTAATAAATTTTTACCTAGTTTATTGACGCGATTTCTCAAAGTGAAAATATCAGTGCAGTAAAATATGAACGGATGTGTGTCGAAGAGGATGCACATTTGGTCTCAATACATTCCGAAACAGAAAATGCCTTTGTATATGGTATAAACCACACATTTTCAAAATTTTTGCTTTATTAATACTCAAAAAATAAAAATTACAAAATTATATTATTTATATTACGGTGTTACAAACTAATTTTTGGACAACATCACAAAAATTTTATCTCACGCAATACTGTTATGCTTATATACTGCTATAACTTACATAATGAATAGTATAAATTATCAACTTATTGCCAAATGTGATTATTAATGTTATCATTCTCGAATAAGAATAATGAGAATAGAATCTACTAAATTCAACATTTCAGTGATCCATTAATGAAATTTTAGAGATAAAATATGCCGGTAGGAGACATCGGAATTTCATCATTACTACACTGAATTATACTATAAAATGAACAGGATACAAGTTATGATGCGTTATCTATCATGCCGATGAAATTAGTTACAAAATTTCTGATTGTCAAAATCTGTGATTTTTTGAAAATAAATATGAAATCTCTGTACAATGATTCTTTTCTTATGTTCAGGATTGGCTGGCTGTGAACGAGTTTTCATCGGCTTGCGTGGGCAAACAAGCGATCAATTTGGATGGTTGGATGGAAGTAGGGTAGATTTCAAAAATTTTTTTCCTGGCTTTCCTCTCGGTACCCAATATTGTGCTTATATGACTGGGGATAGTATGTTCTGGTACACGGATTCCTGTTTTACGAAAGGCTGTGCAGTGTGTAAAAAGGTAAATTAAAGCTTATGTTTAGTGGAATGATTGCTAATTGATAGAGGGATGCATCCAGAGTGATTGCAGTGATATGACAAAAAATATTATTGGCTGGTTAATTGCTGTTATTTCTCCCTAGTGAGCAATGATTTACTAAAAAATGTCTGTCAAAATTCCATATCAGCTTTTCATCTTTACATGTCTCTTATAATTAGAACATGTAATAAAATATCGCATAATTGCTCTTTTGATTAAATTTTGCATATATGTGTCATACATGACAAAAAGTATAAGATACTCCGTATTCAAAATAGTTTTTAAACTTTATTTTGCTGATCTAAAAATTTTTTGACTAAATGGAATAATATGAAAGTGATATCCCATATCTTTTATGCCAGTCATTACGTCGGTTGTATAATTATTCTAAACATATGTTGTTTTGAATAAATGTAAACATCTTAGTAATTGTTGCGGTCAAATTTAATTGATATTCGAACTAGATATTTCAAGTTGGAACTCCACCTATACGGCGCTAAAAAAAATATAAGGTACTCCTATTCAAGACACTTCTCTTATTTAAAAGAAAAAAATGACGCCATTCAAAAGCGCACATAGATACACCATTCCTCATGAAAGTTTGGTCATTCTTAAAACGATTAAACTCGTTCTGGTTGGAACACTAAATTCATGCATAATTCAAGTTCATTGCTGGAAGTTAGAGACTATTTGAATTTAAAAAATTGTTTGAAATTAGTTTGTTTTAAAATTTATTCAAAATTGTATTGATTAAACCGTATTTTGTTAAAAAACTCAAGTTTTATCCGAGGCAATTGTAAACGAACGAATATTTACTCTAAATTAAGACCAAAGTTATATTAATTACATAAATTATTTTGCAGTGAAGTCAGTAGTTGACCCAAAACTGGTAAATGTATCTGTGAATACCTTGTCGATTTAGTACTAATATTTTTAATGTTATTTATTGCATAGCTATATGTAGATTTCTTCCTCCAAACTAAGAACTCTTTCGTTCCTTCTGTTTCTATAAATATAATAAAATACCAAAAGATACTCCCTCAATTTCCAATTTTTTATTACTTTATGTTAATCGTAATTTTGGTTACAAATCAATTTTTCAGGACAGACCACAAATGCGTAGTTTTTTTTATAAGCTTTTACAAATCTCAAATATACCAGAAATTACGCAAACTGCAATGAGGAAGTAAACTCAAAAACTGACATACATTCACGGAAATAAATCCAGCTAAAATTACGATTCGCTAATTCTAGCAGTATTATACATACGGATAAACAACTGCTTATTAGTTAATATATGCCAAAAGAAGTCAAAGCAGACACTAAAATGTATATGCATGCAAACTTAAATTAATAATTGTTTAATGCATCATAGCATTAGCTGCTTTGAAAAAACAGTACCGAAAACATCTTACTGCTTGTTACAATTAACATCCCAATTATATATTTGCAACATGATTTTGCTTAAATGTAAGTGAAAATAGGGCCCCAATGACTAAATATTCCTTCCTAAATAGTTGCACAGTTTAAATCATAATTGAGAAAATATTGTAAACCTAAAACAACTTACAATGCCAAATAATTTTCTTTCCTTGCCACTCTGTTTATTATATGAATAAAGATTCAATAATCTTTCTGCGGTTTCATAAACTAAGCGTAACTAACCCCAACAAGTTTGCTTCCATGGTTAACGTAACACTACTGTTATTATATCAATTGAACTGTTTATTCTACACTTCAAGATAAGCCTTACAAATTCTTGCTTGTTCCTGACCTTCGACAAACCTTGCAAAACAAGGCAAAAATCCAGACGGTAACGGTTCATGCACTAAATCAGCAACACTTCTCACACCTAATCGCTTGCTAATGATGGCTAATTATGTGTATATGCATTCATTGTAAGTAAAAATCAATTACCTATAGCAAGTGCTGCGAGCAGGAGCAAGTGGAGCGAATTTCAAATATCATAAACCTCCAACTTATCCCAATAAAAATATTAAAAGATTTATGTACAAGTTATTTACCGTTTGATGTTTATCAACCAGATGTCACAAATGTTGGCCACTCCCACTTTCAAGTATATATACGTTATGCAACGACATTCTCCCAGTTTGTTAATAGTTCTCATCTTCTCTCCATTACAATAAATTTAACATGCTGCTATAGTCGTTAGTAAGATTTTTGTAATAGTACTATGTTGTTTTACATAACTGTGTCGAAATAACTTACTTCAGGATCAAAGAATAAAGAACCTCTCCTAAAGACGATCAATTGATCCTTACCAAAAATTCGACAGTGCCAAATCAGCCAAGCCAATAAATTCTCTAAAAATATTTTGGTGCCACGAGCCGGGAATGTCAACCATTATAATCGAAGCGCACAAGCGGTAAAAGAAAAATTGCAATTTCTTCTCAAAGATGTCGAAGGGATGGATCTAACACCATCGGATCAAATGCTGACCAGAAAAGAAACCTGTCAGCAGCGAGGCCAGAAAAAGAATTATTGAGGAGTAATTAATGCGTCTGGAGCTATATCTACTAGCAAAATCGCTCATGCAAGATGGGCAAAATATATCCAACATGTCCCGACTTCATTAAAAAAAAGAGCAAGAAGGAGAAAATATACACAATTGGTCGAGGACAAAAAAGGTATTTTAAACGTAATAAATGAAGATAAAGAAATCAGTATAACTTTAACTATGTACAAAATAACTCTGAATTAGTAATCGCAGGCCTCAAACAAGACAAAACAAAGGATGAATCAACTGATCAAGACGATTCAACCCAATTGACATATTATCCAACGGTAAATTTACCCCAACTATTGCTCAAATTCAATGGCAATTCAAAACCATGGAGAGGATTTTGAAATAGCTTTAAAGCAGCAGTTCATCTCCAAAATATTCCAGATATCCAAAAATTAAATTACTTGATGTCTTATCTCAAAGGAAATGCTCTACTAGCCGTAATAGTAAGAGGCTATCATATCGTACCGGAGAATTATGATGTTATAAGAAAGTTTTTTAACAAAAGTTGATAAATCTTTCATTACAAAGAAACAGCTGTATAATAAATTGTATTCGATCAAAAAGAATAATCGAGAATGAAAATCACTAAAAGTCAAGCTCTGTCGAGAACAAGCTCGAAATTCCACTAGAAATAATCTTTGTACCGAACAATCGAATTTAGCAAAAGGTCAAATTTAAATCAATGTATTTATATTTAAGCAAATCATGTTAATCATTTATTGTAAGTTTTATTGTAATTCAAATTCCTTAATGACTCATAGATGGTAATGTGTTAACAAATTCCCATGCTAATCTGTCATATTATCTAATGCACATCTGTTCCAATCCTTATTTGTTATCTAATTCCGTTTACAAAAACTATCTTTCCCATAGCCTTCTTGCTAGCTTCCATTTTATCAATCGCTTTATCTCTCCACCCTCAAATCATCCTATATAAGGGCAATTACCACTCAACTGGGCTGTCTTCCCAGTCTCCCCGTTGCTTAGCTCATCCTCCTCACTAAATTGTCCTACTACTGATTGCTTGTTTGGGTTTAATTACCCAAGATTGAGCACTCCACTCAATTGTGCAAGTAAACCAACCCAATCCAATCCATTCACAACAAATTTATGGTGCCACGAGCCGGGAACATGTCATCCATCATCATCAGAACCGCAGACCAAACAAAACGAAGATTGTGTGAAGTCCTCAACGAAATCAAGCGTCTGAACTTGGATTCGGTCGACCAAATGACAACAACCGACGAAACAATCCGTCTTCATCAGGAACGGAGAAGGATCACCCAAGAAAAAATCATGCATATCCAAATATACATAGAGGCGTTGGAATCGGTCAATACAGAGTGGAAACAATTCATCCAGCAGATTTCAGTCTCAACCAAAAGAAAAGAAGAAGAAGATCGATACCTTCAGATAAACGACGATGAATCAGGTATTACCAACTTAATTTTACAAGCAAAACAAACTGTAGTCATTTTAAAAATGTATCAAAATGATTCGGAGTTCATATTACAACGGCTAAATCAGTCTATGGTAAGGGAGGAAACAACTCAACCCAAGGAACCCACACAAGCGGGTAAATACCCTACAGTAAATCTCCCACAACTACCACTGCCCACATTCAGTGGGAATCCAAGACGCTGGAGGGAATTTTGGAATAGCTTTGATACAGCTATACATCAACAAGCAATTCCCGATATCCATAAACTAAATTATCTCATCACATGTCTCAAAGGAGACGCCCTCCAAGCTATCAGAGGTTATGACATAACTCCGGAGAATTACAGTGTCGTAAGAAATGTCCTCGTCGAAAAGTTTGGGCAGCCTTACGCCATCAAACGAGCCTTGTTCACCGAATTATACTCCATCAGAAAGAACGATAGAGAGTGGAAAGCAACGCTTGAGGCCATTGAGCGAACACTTCGACAATTGGAGGCCATCGGTGAGAATTTAGAGCAGTCCGGTATCGAAATAGCTGTGGAAGGGAAATTGCCAACCTGGATCCTAGAACAGGTTTACAGAAGAAAGAGGCAGGAATCGTGGTCTGTCACCAAACTCCGAAACTTCCTCACGGAGCTTGCATCTGTGAACGAAGAAGTAGTACAAAGCCAGTCCCTATGGTTTAAAGGGAATAAGGAGAATCAATCTCCAATAAAAGGCAAGCCAAGACCACGACACAATCCCAATGAGACTTCAGCCTTAACAACCTCTGTTCCGGAGAAACCCATCATCAAAGCCCTATCAAGACCTTGTGCACTATGCAACAAGAATCACTGGGATGAAGAGTGCCAGATTTATCCCACTCTCAAACAAAGGCTGGAACGTCTGAAGAAACTAAACGCTTGCCTCAACTGCTTCAAGATCGGACATATGGCAGCCAGATGCAAAAACAAGAAACGGAATTGCTTCCACTGCAAGGGTCAGCACAATTCCGCGCTGTGCCCTAACAAATTCAAGGAAATGCCCAATAAACCAGAGGATCCAGACTCCACTACCACGACAAATATAATAGTCGAAAAAGAGAAGAAACGTGACAAGCGCATCCTACTCTTATGCAAGCAGATAAATGTGTTCAACCCAACTAATCCAAATACTCAACAAAGGGCTTTAGCCCTATTCGACGTTGGATCACAATTATCCTTTGTTTCAAAGAACTTAGCCAAACAACTAATGCTTAACGAAACAGATGAAGGGAAATTAAACATCGCTTCATTCGGCAAAAAGGACCCGAACACGCACCTTACAACCAGAATTGAAATAGGGATAAAAATCGGAAAGGACCGTACAGTGTTGCTCGAAGCGAACACCGTGGACTATTTAACAAACAAACTACAAGTAGTCAACTTAAGTGAAAGCGACATACGATCCCTCAAAGGAAGTCCAACAATTGATTTCCACAGTGAATGGAAGCAACCGGATATATTAATAGGAGCCAACCACTTCTTTCAATTCATCAATTTCGACAAAGCAGAGAATCTGCAATCGGGATTCACACTGCTCCACACTAAAGTGGGCCCGATCCTGGCTGGGTCTGGCTATACAAAGAAAATTTCTCCCAATTCACGAATGTCCTCACAAATAGTTTACGCCGCTAACACGATCAACGTTCCAGATTTAGATCAATTCTGGAAACTGGAACTAATAGGCATACAAGACAAACCCGAGATCAATGACGATGAAGAAGCCTTAAAACAATTTAAGCAAACGATTAGAAAATCCGATGGACGATACCAGGTCGCATGGCCATGGAAAGACACCAGTTCCAAATTAAGCGACAATTTCGAATTATGTCTCGGACGCTTACAGTCGTTAATCAAGCGACTTCACCGCAACCAACATCTACTTACCACATACAATGAAACAATCAATGAACAGTTAAGATCCAATGTCATCGAAAGGGTAAGTCATTTCACAAACCATCAAGGTATTATCCATTACTTGCCCCATCATGAAGTGGTAAAATCAGATAACACCACGACAAAGGTCAGAATAGTTTATGACGCTTCCGCTCACCTCAGAGGCAGGAAAAGCTTAAACGATGTCTTGTATCGAGGCCCTATCACCCTTCCCGATTTAGCTGGAATATTAATTCGACTAAGAACAATGAAAATCATCATAATAGCTGACGTCGAAAAAGCCTTCCTACAATTAGAGTTGCTGCCAACGGAACGGGACTGCACACGCTTTCTATGGGTAAAAGATATTCAGAAACAGGTGGACAGAGATAATTTAATATGCTATCTATTCAAAAGGGTTCCCTTTGGAGTGATATCGTCACCCTTTTTATTATCAGCAACTCTCAATTATCACTTGGAACATTATGAGACTGAAACTGCACGTGAAATCAAGAAGAATCTCTACGTCGACAATATCATCTTATCAGCGAGCCATGAAAAGGAAGCCTTGAATAAATATGAAGAAACAAAATCAATTTTCAAGGATGCGTCAATGAACGTGCGAGAATTCCTCTCAAATAACCAGACATTCAATGAGCAACTACCCAAGTCGGACCGAGCACGAATGAGTCAAATAAAGAAAATATTAGGGATTAAGTGGAATCCACACAAGGATCATATCCAAATAACACTAAATCCATGGACCGAACAAACAACAACAAAAAGAACTATTCTACGGTTCATCGCCTCACAATACGACCCACTTGGATTCCTAGTACCACTGATAGTACCGTTCAAGATATTTCTCCAAGAACTCTGGAGAAAAAACATACATTGGGATCAACCCCTCGACAATCAATTGATTGAAATCTGGAACAATCTTGTGGTAGAATGCCCAACTCATATCAAGGAAATCCCGCGATTCACAATCGATTTATCACAACAAATTACCTTTCATGTTTTCACCGATGCATCTACAGTGGCATATGCTGCAGTAGTATACGCCCATCAAAATACGCATACGTCGTTACTCTTTGCTAAATCATGAATAGCACCTATTAAAGGAATGACGATACCAAAGCTAGAATTACTAGCTATTCTCATCGGTGTACGCGCAGCTCAGTTTGTCATCAAACAAATGGAATTAGAAAATCCAAAGGTAGTGGTATGGTCGGACTCTCGCTGTGCACTACATTGGATACAAAACAATTCTCGCCTCCTACCAAAATTTATACAGAATCGTGTGGAAGAAATACAAATGGCGAAATTCGCATATCGGTATATCTCAAGCGAACACAATCCAGCAGACATTGCTACCAGAGGAACCATTCCGACTCGTCTAATAAGTTACGAGCCTTGGTGGAGCGGGCCCACATGGATCAATGGTAATGAACCGAATTGGCCTCATTGGGAATACGACGTTCCACAAGAAGAGGATAACGAAGAAGATAAGAATATAGTAGCAACAACAACCACAGAAGAAATCATCAATACAAATCGAATCAATCTCCTGGAGGCAAAACGATTCAGTAAATGGAACGTCAAACTGAACGTCAAGCTCAACGTCAAACTTCATATTAACTCAAGGAGAAATTCTCCTCTACGATGGAAGAGGGTTAGTCTCTAACCTTGAAGATATAAAAGACTGTTCGACACAAAAGGGTGAATGCATAACGAATACTAGCATTATCATATGGAATAGCAATGATACGACCAATCATTGTTTATATCGAAAGATCGGAAGATTCAAGGCTACAAAGTATAACAATCACTTCATCATCGATGAGATACAAGCATCGCTTATAATTGATAAAAACCCCCCTGTATTAAACACCAAAATTTGTAGATTCACCTCTCCAATTTTAATGCAGGGCGATATAGTTATTGAACTAGACGTTGAAGATGACTCGAACTCTACTACAAAATTCAAACGAAGAGTAACAAATAAACTATTAATGATGGAAAAGTCTCCGGATAGAAAGTACGATCCTGAAAATGTAAAACTTCAATACCTTTCTGATTCACTAAGACAAGAATTTCTTCAACAACTGCCAAAACAGAAATAACTTATTACTTTTGATCAAATGGCTATCAATCAGCAATCCTACCCTTGCCACGAAACTAATACTTCAAAGAAACGATGTGATAGCTAAAAGAATTAACGGAAATTTGATGGTGGCTCCTTGCAAATCAGAACAATCAACAATCGAAAATATCGAATTCAAAGGAGATTTAATAAGTAAGTTTGAAATTGAGAGAATTAATGCAGAATTGGAAATCCTAACTCAAACCCAAAAAACAATTAATTCAATACCACATCAAATGAAGGATGAACTCTTTTGGTAAGAAATCTCTGAAGAAGGAGAAGAAATTATCAAACAAATGGAAAGGGAATTCGATGAAATTGTTCTACCGATAGAAGAAGAATTTGAAAACTTGATAACAAATTGGAAATTGATTTTTATCTGTATAATAATCGTGACATTATTAACTATTTTAGTTATTATTAAATGGAAATTTAAATTAGTTCAATCTCTCCTTTGTAATACTTCAAAACGAAATTCAAATCAAACTACCATCATTACTCTCCCTACAGAATCACCACACACTCAATTTCTAACTAAAGAAGAAATCCCACCTATTAAACTCCATACATTTAACTATATACCTCAAAATCACTCTCTCAAATTACCTCTTAAAACAATTTCTCTCCCCCTTTGGGAGTGTCGCGAATTATAATTTCGCAAAAACTTCTAACTAATTTCATACTACCATAAATCATCTCTTCTTTTCGTTGTAAACAATTCCAATTCTTTACACATATACTTTTTCTGTAAAATTGAAATTAGCTTTCATTTTAATCTTTTCGTTCTTTCATATTCATGTAAGGCCTCTTCTGTTCCATTAGCTGATATAATAACGTTGTCTACGTATAAGTTCTTTCTTATCTCCCATGCCAATTCACTACCATGATTTTCTAGGTGGTAATTTAATGTTGCTGCTAATAAGAAGGGTGAAGATATTATTCCAAAAGGAACTCTCTTAAATCGGTAACATTTTATATTTTCATTGGTTAGTTCTTTATTAATATCATCTAACCAAAGAAAACGTGTACAATTTCTTTCCTCATTTTGTAGTTCTAGTTGTAAAAATGCCTTTTCGATATCAGCGGTTATTACTATTTTCATCATCCGAAAACGTAATATTACTCCAACTAAATCCGGTAACATTACTGGACCTCGATATAGTACTTCATTTAAGCTTTTAAAACCTTTGTGATGTGCTGAGGCATCATATACTATTCTTAATTTAGTTGTTGATTTACTAGGAGTTAATACTTCATGATGTGGTAAGTAATGAATAACGCCTACCTCATCCTTTGGAGGTACTTCTTCAATTATACCTGAATGTAGTTGATCCATAAGTATTTGATGATATGAATGGAGATTTGAATTATGTTGTAGGCGGTTGATCAAATTCTTCAATCGTCCCAGGCATAATCCATCATTATTGCTTAATTTTTGTTTGGAGTCCTTCCATGGCCAACAAACCTGATATCTTCCAGCTTGCTTGATGATGGTCCGTTTGAAATGCTTTAAAGCTTGATCATCATCATCATCTTGAGGTGATTCTTGGATACCAATCGTCTCTAATTTCCAAAAATTTTCTAGCTCCGAGTTAATATTGGCGTTTGTAGAATATACTACTTCTTTAGGATATAATTCGTTCTTGCAAAGCTTCTTAATATCTCCACTTCCAACAATCATAGGACCAACTTTTGATTGAACCAACATATGCCGTGATTTCAATTCCTTGATTTCTTGTAGACTAATAAATTTGAAAAAATAGTCAGCTCCAATCAATACATCAGGTTTTTTCCAGTAATTTGTTAAATTTTGAATTTGAAATTCATTTGATGTCTCCACTACCTGCAATTCGTTCGTTAGATAATCAATTATATTTGCTTGTAGTGGTATGATTTCGCTTTCGGTAGTTAGCACATTTAGTTGTATGCGAGCAGTGGGACATGATTTCGGTTCTTTCATACCAAATGGAGCTATTCTCATAATTTGAGTTTCTGTTTCGGTTAACTTTAATTGACGTGATAATTTTTTGGAGATGAAGGAGAGTTGCGATCCAATATCAAATAATGCAAGGGCATTTTGTTGTAGTTGAGGTTGTGATGGATTAAAAACCTTTATCTCCTTACATAAAAGTAAAGTTTCCTTTGTCTGTTTGGATCGAGTTGTTAATGTCGAGTTGTAGAGGGAAGTTGAACAATCCTTTCGTTTCGAAGGTTCAATTCTTTCTTGCTCTTCATTTCTTTGAGACATTGTATTGTTTAAAGAAAGTGAATTCCTTTTATTACATAAAGCACTATTATGTGAGCTTTTGCAATAAAAACATTGTTTTTTGACATTACAATTCTGTCCTTTGTGACTGTCTCTAAGATTGAGACGACTAAGTCGAGCATTGAGAGTCGTGTAGTTCACGCAATCGCTGATTGCAGAATACACATGGTCGTCTTTTCGTTGTTGTAGTTTTTGAAGCATTTTGATTATCCTTTATTGTCGACAGTGCTGAAGTTCCTCCGGGATTGTATCGTTGTTTTTGTTCCTGTTTGGTAGTTGTAGATTTAATATTGAGTTGAGTGAGTGAATGTTGACAGTTTCTAATCTGTTCATTCACATTAACTAAACTTGTTAAAAAGTTTCTTAGTTTGAGAATTGACCAAGGCATGTCCTTCTTCTTATGTTTATATATTTTATGTAATATCCATAATGGCAACTTGCTCTCGATCAAGATTTTAATATTTGAATGCTCAAGGCTTTCTCCTAGAGCTTCTAACTGGCGCAGTACTCGTTCTATATTTTCAATTGTTCCAATCCATTCTCTTTCATTTCGTTTAATTGATTAGAGTTCGTTGTATAGTAATGTTGTTACTATTGAGTGATCGCCATATTTTTCATTGAGCAGTTTTCTGATGACTTCATAATTCTCTGGAGCTATATCATATCCAGATATTGCTTGTAGAGCCTTTCCTTTAAGACATGAGTACATGTAATTCAATTTTTGTATTTCTGGAATCGCTTGTGTGTGGACTGCTGCGTTAAAACTGCTCCAAAATTGTCGCCATTGTCTAGGGTCTCCATCGAAAGTAGGGAGCGATAAATGAGGAAGATTTACATTAATATTTGAAGAAGGAGTAAATTTTGCTTCTTCTTTTGTTTGTTTGTTCGTCAACTCCTTTGAGAGTTGTTTTAAGTTTTGGTCGACTTCATCCTTGTGCATTGCCAGTGTTATTACAGCTTCCTTTCCTTCGTGTAATAATTGAAATATTCCTTAGTCACCTTCTGTTACTGTTTTGTATTTTTCTTCCTCTTCTTCTCTTCTTTTCATCGTGACGATTTGTTGAGTATATGTGAACCATTTATCGTTGATAGATTCAAGCGTAGTTACGCATAATTGGATTCTTCGAAGTTTATCTTCTAACACTCTTTTTCTTATCACATAAAAATCTTCTTTTTCTTCTATTGTCATACTTGGATCTGGAAATTTGATCTCCAGTTGATTTACTTCTTTAAGAAGACTGACTAACCTTTCCTTTGCCGGTTGAAAGCTCGCGATAATGTGGCTTGACATGTTCCCGGCTCGTGGCACCAAAAAATTTTTGTCATGAAAGGTTTGTCTGGTTGATATTCGAATAGTTGCAATATAGTAGGAAGATTAATAAACCTTTATTTTTCGCAAACGTAGTATTAATAAACAGAGCAATAAAATTAAGAGAGAAAAAATTTATATTAAAGAAGAAGATCGGAAGAATTGATATTGGTTAACAGAGTAGTAGTCGACAGTGATGATAATGATTTACCTTTTTTTGTTAGAATTGAATTTATATGAGTGAGGATTGGGCGTGTCTAGGATAAAAATCATATGTGTAAAGAATTGAAAGGGTTTACAACAAAAAGATTAAAATGAAAGCTAATTTCAATTTTACAGAAAAAGTATATGTGTAAAGAATTGGAATTGTTTACAACGAAAAGAAGAGATGATTTATGATAGTATGAAATTAGTTAGAAGTTTTTGCGAAATTATAATTCGCGACACAATTCATATACTATGAGCATCTATCATGTATTGTCTATTACAACTCATAGTAGCCATTTATCATAATGTCTGGACAAACCATTGTACTCTCTTTCGTAATATCCATTCAATTCATTGTGATATCCATTTTTAAACTTATTGTTAAAGTTACTTACTATCATTTTTTGTACAAAAATGTCTTATTATAAACCACTCCCACATTTTAACACATATAATGTAAGATAATTGCTACATAAAGATCACCATTGTTAAAAGATTTAGTATATGTGTAATTTATTGCCAAGGACTGACGATTCCACTTTCAATTGTTTTCTATCAACGTTTTGTCCTATTACTTTGCTAATAAAGAACTTGGATTATATTTCTGTTACCTCACGCATTTACATTTACATCCAAGACAATCTCCCTGCGATCAAACACCTCTCCCAATATTATTAATTAAACAATCAAAACCTTCCACGTCAACATACAAGAATTGGAAGATTTACTTGATTGTAGAATAAGCACTTCAACTGATGTAGTAACAAAGCTGTTACGTTGGCCGTGGGATCAAGCCGTGGATTTAATCGCTCACTCAAATTATCAAATAAAATATTTATTGAAACCACTCCTACTTACAATATGTAAATGTGTTTTTCTTTATATATATGAATAAAATTATTGCTTCAGACTGGAGATGTAACTCCTTTTAATTTAACCATTATTTCCTGTTCGTTTTACTTTAACCATCACTTGTTGTCCCTTTTTTTATTTTAAAAATCACACATGGTCCTTTATTCTTGCTAATAAATATTTTCAAGTATTTCTGTGTTGTTTGACACTGCTGTCAACTGCATCTGAACGAATTCCTTCAGGAGCAAAGAATAAGAAAAAAAAAAAATCATTCTTCACCAAATATTTGACTTGCCAAACCTTAAAAAAAAGAAAATTCACAACTTCAATCTCTAATTATAATAAATTAATTACAAATGCTAATCTATTTGAAATACTGGTTTCCTAGAATTGATGTGAATTTCCAAGATATATCACACGGATTCTAATTGCGCTTCTGCGAAGCGTTTATTTCCTACAACTTTCATGAAGCATAAAAATCAATATGCAATTAAGTGAGATCTAATTCAGTCATTTTTTGTATGGAATAATAATAAGTTAACTTGACAAAACGAAAAAAAAAATGCAGTTTGTAAAAGTACAAAAAAGTGCATTCTTTAATAATGGTGGAAATTACTGCTGTTGGATGGTAAAGTTAACAGAAATTATGCAATAAGTACTGGAAAAAAAAAAACTAAAATATATCCGAAATAATTCTATATTACAAGACAGTAATTTGTAGTTTAAAAATTTTCTCATTTATATATTCCTTAAACAAATATAAAACTGTTTCAATTTTATATTTCAAGTGAGAAAACACTTGTGTAGCGTTGATTTTCCAGTTTACAGCTTAGTTGTCTAGAATGTTACAATCTATTAATAAAAAATATGTGCACTGCTTAATATGTTGAAAATTACTCTTAATTTTGTTGTTAAGACCTTCCAGTCACGTAGTCAAGTTTTCTCGATTGTTAAAAATTATGAACTCTTTTTGTCTAATTTATTCTTTTCGTTATCAACTAAATCTACCTACAATGTTGAAATTTTGTGGAGCACTTTTAATATGACAGTATAAGCAACTAACGACTGTCACTCGATAGTGGCAGCAGCTCTTTAATACACTATAATCGTGCCCTTTCTTGTAAGTCAATGTTCACTATGTAAAGAGTTGAATTGTCTTCGCTCAGTTTTTTTCGATTTTGATATCTTTCAATTCTTTGGATTTGGTTCATTCAGTTAATTTTACTTTCATGAATGATAGCATAATAACAGAAGTAACATTAATGGGACGGAAAAAGAATGACAGTTGTAGATGGGAAGTACGACATAGCGAAATTTAATGGACTGTTGATACGATATTGTAAAAGAACAATAAAGCTTGTCAACATTATGATAAGAACACCTACTAAAAAATTTTCCTGACATGTCAAAATGATATATTTCTTGGAAAAAAAAAAAACTTCAAAGAATTTATATAACAAGTTATTTAGTACGTAAATCATTTTCTTGCTAATCCACAGTCTAATATATTAAACGACTTAAAGGCAACTACGAACAACAAATAATTCAATTTTATTGAAAAATGATCGATGATGCTAAACTGAATAACCTTTGTGATTATCTTAATGTCCATCAATATCATAATTCACTAAAAAATTTGAATTAAATGAAATCTGATATAGGTCATTATGTTTATTCAAATTTTATTTAGCATGCAAACAGAACCCACTACAATGAAAAAAATTGAAAACATTTCAATATGTTGTTTGGTGTTTGGCAAAATATAAAAATTTTGGAATTTATAAAATCGTATAAAATTCATTCAAATGTTGCTGGATATCAGTTATATGCATTCGCATTCTCTTTTCAAATTTAGCTATTTATTTGATTATGATTGTTCAAAAAATTTGGGATCACCGCGTTGATATGATACCGATGGGGTTACTCTGTCAAATTTGGGACGACGTATATCCAACAAATAATTCAAATTTCTTGCTTCCACAACCAAACAAAATAAATGTTGCACCATGTATCGATAATTTGTATCATGTAAGATCCAAGTGCCGCTTGAATCACAAACAAGCTCACCCATATTACCATTTCCATGATGAGCTTTTTCAACAATTATTTGTGGCACAGAAATTTCATTTTTATCAATATACGGCAGCACAAATAAGCCGGTTTTGCTAAAATTATATTATTTCCTAATTTACATTTTATGCCACAAATAATCTATTTAATTCATTAAATCATTTCTTCTCTTTCCTCTTAATCAATTTACATTTTCTATTACCGTTTTTTTTTTTCTGAAACAAAGCAAAATAAGAAGTTCAAAAGCTAGACGCACTGTATTATTAAATCATTTTAGTAATTAAATCTTTGTTTGTTTATAACTTACTTAGCATTCAAATCGGTGCCAGTAACAGCTACATACACTGCAACTTCTTTAATGTTTGTCATATTTCGTTGACAATAAACTGTTGCAGTTAAACATCGGCGGTGATAATGATATACCTTATATTTGCCACAGGTAAGACCACGTTGTAATGCTGGACAATTCTGAAGCACTGTTTCCGGATTCAGTTCAGTACAATTCCGTTGACATAAAGGATGCTCATCTGTAATGGATGAAAAAAAAAAATAACTTTTTACTTCATGTTCGTATATTTTAACTATTTATAGATGCAAATGAAATGTCATAGCAAATTTCAACTTCCCATTAATCATTAGAAATGTTTCTCAGACTCTTTCAGAACCTTTGAATCGCTAAAGACCAATTACTTTCTACATAATTCTCCAAGTTACGCACGATCTGATGAAAAATAAACAAATATTCCCTTGTTGTTCAATGCTTTGATATGAACGTAGCAACTGATTGTCCTTCAACTGCCATTCATCCAGGTTTTTGCCAAATAATACAAATTGATCTGATAGAATTGATTCTTTTAGCAAAATAATTAATAGGCCACTTAGATTCAGGAAGCGCAGCATAACGTACAACTTTTTCTAGAATTTTCTTAATGCAAGAGTTGAAATTATTAATATTGAATTGCCAGCAGCATCAGTAATAGTATTTATTAAACACAAAAAAAAAGGGGAATAAATAATTCTAAAAAATTTGAAATTCGTTTCTAACATTCTGAACTTCACTCCCACACTGTGAAACTGAATTTGTCAAATTGAGTTATTCGATGCAAGAAACTAGACCAAAATGAGAGATAAGTAGATGGACTTTATGTGACAACACTTTCAAATGCAGTGAGAGAAGCGGTTATTTAATAACCTTCATAAAATCAATGACCCTTGACCTTTCTAAAGACTTCATTTTGCAATAAATTGCAATGATAGTAGAAGAGATTATCATTTCAAGCAAAGGAAAATCAATGATTCAACTTTTACATTCGTCTATTTTTTAGTTTAATTCTTTCTGATGATAACATAAGTAATACTATTTCTCACTGACCCAGTACTATCCATTAAATAGTTTAATAGTCATAGTTATTCAAGGTTCATTTAAAAGTTCGTGATATAAATTTTGCATTTATCAAAGTAGAAAGACAAAACTTAACCATTTGATAACATTATTATTGATAAGGTCCACAAAAATGTTACTTCAGAAACTATTTTTTTCTCTCCTTTGATATTCAAATTGATATAGAAAATTCATTTTTCTTCATCCTAGCATTTAGTTCTCTATAGGAGATAACTGCTAAAAGTGATAAAAATGCATAATCTCTTTAAACCAAAGGTAGATAACAGGAAAGTACGAAATTTGAGTATGAAATGATTTTATTGCTCAAATATACGATATGCAATTACTTCTACTTCAGAGTTCTTGTCATCTTAAAATTTCTTAATGATAAGCATAGCTTTATCAAAAGTAAAATGTTTTACTTGAAATCGTACAATAATTGTTCTTAGATGAGGCGTTAAAAAAATTCAACTCTTTTCTAAGTAATAATACCTATATTTCCTATATCTAAACATAATCATCATCATCATTCCTTACCAAACCTTCATCTGGAACATTTGAATATAATTATGGAAATTTATGGCTTCACTTAAAACCAGCAAATGGTAAGCCATATGGTTTTGAAATTTTATACAAATTATATCCTCGAATATTTTATTCTATATTAATTTTTTTAGACTATTTGATTACTTATAATAACAAATTATATTGTTCAATATCTAATTTATTTCACGATAATTTGTTACATTTTGCAAGTTGAAGATGATAAAATCTAATCTCTGGCGTTCATATTTTTAGAATGATCGTCTAAAACACATTGTAAATATTAAGATTATTTATGATCACCTATCTGATTTCTCTAAATGTGAAATTCTTCCATTTGTTTACGTGTTTCGGCTCTAATAATATCTCGCGTAATTTCGCGTAATTTCCTTCTGATAATACCAGGTTATATAAAGGAAAGATTTCTTTAATTTTGTAAAAAATTTGCAAATATTCGAAAAAATCTATTAGTAAAGAAAAACATTTTATAAAATTGAAAATGTGGTGAAATAAAATAATATAAACAAATACAGCCTTTCCAGAAGAATCAGGCTTTATATGTAAAACTTAGCTCATCATAAATAATCTTAATATTTACAATGAGTTTTAGACGATTATTCTAAAAATATGAACGCCAGAGCAGAAATCAGAAAATTACTTAGCAGAATATATTTAGAAGCTTTAAATAAGTTGGTGCCTTGAAAAAGTGAATAAAAGTTATTAATTTTGTTTACTGCAATTAAAAAAACGATAGCCAATTAGCACTAAATTAATGCATTTTTTATTCAACATCATATTTCAAAAATAGACAATTCGCGTGGATATAATCAAATGATATTATCATTGTTCAATCGTTCCTCAAACATTCGTATCTGTTATAACCTTTGTCTTTTTTTCGGTGTTTCCTCACATTGCATAGAGTCATCCGAGTTTTCGACAATTGTTTCTCTGTTTTTTCCGGTGAAACGACCAATCCATAGTACAGTCCCGTGGTTATCAATGATTGCATAAAGGAAGGGATGATTAGCACGAAATGCTTCTCCTTTATCCATTACCATATCATTTCTTACTGGCATACTTGAATTTTCGTTATTGATTCCTTTCTCATCAATCTGAACTTTTCTATTATTTGTTTATAGCATTTTTTATGTCCGATAATAAATTATCGATCAATCAGATAACTTAGCCAAGCCTCTTTTTTGCTAATAATCTCTTTTATGGAAGACAATTGGATTTATCAATCCGAGGAATTAACTGAAGTTAGGCTTTGATTAAAGTTTGGTTTGACTAAAACGTATTTAAATTAGGGCAAAATCAAAAACTTTGATATAAGCATGATTTCTGATATCATCCATTGTAAATAACCGCTGCTCAAAAATGCCGGAAAAATCATTCGATTCGTGGAACATTGATTGCACTCCCATCCTCTTCAATCCATTTAACAAACATATTTGATTTTCGTACTTAAATTTTGGAATTGTAACCTAAAAGAAAGCTAAAATCCTTTTTATGAATTGAAACATCCAGTATAGGAAAATAAAGTCAGAGACTAGAAATCTAAATGGCTACTAAAATTTCGATTTTGATTATAATCTGAAAATTTCAAACCATTTGTTTTGTATAAAACCGAAAATCTGTTACTGAGAAAAGAAAAAGTTAAGCAAAGTATCGTAAAGGAACATACGGTAATTTCGTGAGATGAGTCAAGTGCACTAATATAACTGAATAGTTCCTCTCCCGTAAGTTTATCTTCAAACTTTGCTAGATCAAAGGTTTTTTTGGGCAAAATAATTAACATTTGCATTTCGGAATCTTTGAACGGTAGCGACACCGCTTGCATGTGTTGGTTTTCATAGTAAGGAAATTTGGCCGTTCTTTCCATCATTGGCATCTGAAATTTGAAGTCAGTTATATCCAAAAATAAAATGTCCCTGAAACTTCGCGTGATGTCAAAGCACAAATTCTTTCACTATTATATAACACAGCAATCACAAGTTGCGACATCATTTATTTCACTTAGCCTTATCAAATCATATCTATTCCTGCCGAATAATAAAGCAAATAAACATTGTTTCACAGTACATCAGTTACACGTAGCCGTGGTGAATAGAACGGTAATATGTGATTGAGCGGAAGAAATTCGTACATCCAATCATCAGTGAAATGTATTCCATTAAATAAGTTTAATGACTGAGTGGAAGTGATGCTAGCGATATTACGGGCTCCATAATTCATACTTTTCTTTATCCATTTAATAAATATCTGCAATATATTAAATATGTTTTAATTTTCATTGAGAAAAGCACTAAACAAGTTTTAGAAAATTTTATTTATTGATTCATTTATATGTTGAAAAATCTGAAATGCAAAAAAAAAAAAATATCAGAAAAATATTTTTTTCTAAATAGGTTTTTTTTTTTTTAAATCATTAAAGATGTAGTAGTACTTCTCTTATACTCTTCACTTGCAGAGGTGAAGCGAAATTGATTTGTGTCAACTCATAAGGATATCGTCGACGAGTAATATCTTTAAAATCAGACTTCAAAGAATTTTGTTGCACAAAAAATTTGGTTAAATAGTACAAAGAATAATCATTTCGCTTTGATTGCTTGTGAATATTTTTGATAGCGCACTCTATGTAAGCTCCAAATGCATTTTTTGGTTGATCTGAAACCTTTATAGCAGAGTTCTCATTAAGTTGTTAAGTTTAAAAGTGGAATTTTGAACTTCAATTCTCTTTTATCACAAGTGAATCATTACAGTGAAATTTGTCAAAGTTTCTCCATTATGACTTAACATCGTCTCAAACATTCATAAGCATTTATATTTTGAAGAGTTTTTCAAATTTACGTTACCTGCTGAAAGCACCCTCCCCATCTCACGCTCAGTTTCACCTCTGGCTCCTTCATATAATAATGACATTACGGAAGCGATTGCAAATGGCGATAATAGCGAGGTTTCATCAGCTTGCGAAGAATAGCGCAATAGTTCCAATGCGAAATTCATTTGCGCCTTAGTTATCAGTAGCCTATAGCATTTGATTAGCTTTCAGGCATCCCATAATAAATGTATTGAATTTATGCTTGCCATAAAAAAATTTTCTTCCATTGTTTAGATTACATAATTAAGTTCCACTGAATATTCTCACGACATTTGAGCAATTTTAATTGGTTTGTAATTAGTAGATTAAAATAGCGATTAGCGACTTACTTGTTTGAATCATCATTGTTTTCAGAACAATGGTTTAAAGTACTGTTAGCACGGGAACTACCACCGAGTACTGCCACCACAATAAATATTACTTCGAAAAGCTTCATGAGGATAATTGCGAATTGCCAATATTGAATAACCTATTGGAAATCGGTTATTTTTGAATATAGGAATTATTTTTCCGAAACATTGAAAATAAGTGACTCATCTTACGATATATAAATTATTTCCAAACTGTTCGCTCTTCCGGTTTCTTCAAAAAAAAAAAAAAAAAAAAGAATATGGATAAGAAAAGAGGGAAGAAGAAACTTTTAAATTAAAGTAACTTCCAGTCTGACATTTATTCAACAACTGACTTAAATCTTTTCAGTTCTATTTTTGAACCGTATTAACCAGTTTAAGGCTATGTGTTGCACATTTATGGAATGAAATGATAAACTGAAACGGCGCAATTTTTAATGCCTTTGAGTAAAAGTAAATGCTGTCATCTGATTATCAAAAATCAATTGCAAATCTGCAACTTAAAAAATAAATTTAATTTTTGATCGTCATTTGATAAAAAACAAAAATATGAAAATCAAAAATAAATGAATGCATCAAAGCATTGTGTCAGTTTTGTTTATCAAAAAAAAAGTATGAGTTTAATAATTGCTTTTGAAAGTAACACCAGCAAACCTTTGAAGTTCATTAAGCTTATAACATCATAGTAATATTTTCTCAACATGCAATAATTTAATCTCTACACTGATAACGCAAGAAATTAGTGTGGACGTTTTAAAGTTGTGCAGCCAAATTTTCAACTTGAAATATCGTTATGATTAAATTGTGACAAATTTATAGGAAAAAACTGGATTATATATGATCAATATAAATTCAAAATTTTACTGATACTTTTGATTTCAATACTAAATTGTTTACAAATTTGACTTTGGTTTACACATAATCTCTGCGACATAAAAAAAACTTTGGCGAAATAATTTTTGCTCCAATATAATAACTTTTTAATGCAATCCTTTCATATGACATGATCATACGAAAAAGCACATATTTTATTGAGATGGAAACACATTTTTCAATCTCTTTTACGGTAATTTTGATTTCAATGACAAATGCTAATTAAGTTTACCAAAACTGTCAAAATTCAAAATTTTTTGCTATTGGAAAGAAAAGAATATGTGACAATGCGACAACGAAATGAAAGATGTGACAACGATTAATTTTGTTCGATTATTATTTCATGTAAGATAAGATACTATAATCAGTACTACAGCATTTGATTGGATCATGTAATTAATACTTACATCAGAGATGCTGAAATTAGCTTTTTCAGAATATTAGCATCTTTTTCATTTAAATGAGATCTGAACACTTTGGAAGTAGTAATAATGCAGCAATTAATAAACATTGCAACCTTAATTAAAATATGCAAAACGGTCGGCCAAAATGCACTTCAATAAGTAACAGTTATACATGCACTGCGGTTAACTGTGCAGTTTTGAAAGAATCAGAAGAACTGATTCATTATAGGTAAACTTACCTATTCTTTTCTCGCTTTATTAACTTCTAATTTTGTAATTTGTGGCAAATTCGTTTTTTCGAGAGATTTTTTTGCAAGCAAGCATTCAAGTTTTTTGATTTCAGGATTCAAAGATTAAATTGATGCAGCTGTGAATGATACGGATTTGCATTTGCAACAGAAACAGAAATAATGGAGCTTATGGAAGCGGAAACAGAAATTGTTTTTGTTTATTTTTCCTTCATATTGAGGATTAATTCAGCAAATATAACCTGCTAATTCATAAATTAGATCACATATTAGATCATTTTGCAAATTGGATCTAATTCTAATTCACAAAACTTTTAAATTGTAAAGCAAATTAATACACATTTAAACCACTTTACGAATGCAGCTATATCGTAATAATTACTAGGCGAAAGCCAAAAAATCATGTATTATATCATGTATAAAAATCATGTATAAAAAATCATGTGCCACATTTAATTAAATATAGAATTAATTAGAGTATAATCAAATGAAACATTGCATCCATTAATGATATGAAATTTCAAGCAAACTATTCATCAGTTTCCATTTATGCAAAATATCATATCATCTCCACCATTCAAAATTTTAAATTTTGTTGCTTCTTTCGGCCTAAATTGAAATTCATTCTCAGAACAACACAGGTAATAGTTATGAATGTATGTCGAGTTGAAACTACTATTTGCTAAAATTGAAGTATTTCAATTTACTCCATCTATACACTGAAGATTTGCGACTTTACTAAATGTACCAAATTACGTGCTCTTCTAGTAATTCACAACAGTTAAAGTAAATTGCATAAACAGTGGATACAGTCAATTAGAGAAAAATTACGTCGAGTTTGATGTGAACTTAAATTTCATTTGTTTTTGTTAGTTCCAGAAAAATGAGTTTTTAATAATGGAATTAGCAAATTACTGGCAAAGACGTCCTGGATCATTATTTGTTGAAAGTCAAATATCGTAGCTGGAGGTCAAAGGTAAAGAATTGTGGTCAGGAAGTCTCCTAAGCATCATAAGCATTGCCAATATTTCTTGGATGGAATCCTTCACCTCTATTTTTTTTTTTTTACATTTAATTTTAAACAAAATATGAATTTCGTTTATAGTTGTAATATGTGATGTTTATTTCTGCTTATATCAGCCTCACGATTTTAATTAATATTATCAGCCAGTTTCGCTATGTTATTTTAATCAGTATTATCAATTGCAATCCCGTAATTATTGCGCAATCTGTTCTCGCCAAGCTGACGCTACTTCCGGAGGTACTTTCTGTTTGCTTATCTGAATAAAATTATAAAATATGATTTCAATAAATCACTTTTTTATTTCGTAAGATTGAACTGCAACATTGGTCTAAGAAATTAGCTAGACTTCATCTTGCTTATTCAATGAAAACGACGCATAAGTATTTTCCGTAAAAGGAAGTCGTACCCGTACCAATTTGATCAGTTGTAAATAATTGTTTCAAAGTTGATTCCAGTTGCACTTGTTTTGTCAATACTTTCCGATTCCATATTTTCAAATACGATTTCATAACTTCCACTCTTTCCGTGAATGGTTTTCGATTCGTCACTTCTGTGGTTGATACTATTTCCTTATTCATATTCATTTGCGCTGAAAACGCTCATAATCGATGAATTCTTTGCTGAAAGTGAGAAATTCTAATTATTGTAAATTCTTATCGGTTTTACGAGCAAGTTGTTGAGAAGAAAAGTTCTCCAAAAAATTAAATTAAAATGAAAACTAACTCCCAAATGCGACAAAATATTGATGGAAATTATTTTGTAGTACATCGCTCTTAATGTAAACAACGTAACGTCCGCTTGACTGTACGTAGTGTATCGGAACGGTCGGTAGCAAAAATTTGAATGTGAAATATGTGCAATCGTAGGGAGTTTGCAGTTCGTATATGTCATCTGCGGCGAACACACCGTCTATCTCTAAGTCATTTACTGCATTCTTATCCATGAATACCTGGAAATTTCTTTGTTTGAATCTTTTGAAACGAAGTTTTTTGAGAACCATCGAAAAATGATGATTTCAGGGGAGAATTATGATAAATTAGGACATATGAAGCACTCACTGTAAATACCCCAGTCAACCAGCCAATCTGCCAGGATAATCCGTTCTGTTTTTTCTCCCAAAAAGGATAGAAAAGGATGGAAACGGAAAGAACATTTGCGGTAGTTAAAAGGAAGAATGCTTCACTACACCAAAGAAGCATTACATCAAGTGAGATTTTCAATTTTATGATTTCTTGCATGAATTATTATCCTAATAAACTGTTAATGAAATTTTACGTAATGTTATTATTATTTTAGCTTACGATAATTAAATTCCTGTAGTGATGAACAGCAAAATGACTTCTTCCAGTAACATATTGTGCTGCAATTGGAATAAAATTGGTGTAGCTACCATTGTAATTAGAGATACCGGAAGTTAAATTTGAATATAATCATTTCTTAATCATTCCACGTAACAAAAATAGGTGTCTGAATGGTTGTGCATGATAACTTGTAAAACTGTCATGAATAGTTACAAAAAATAAGAAAATAAATTATTTGCAAAACAAAGTATTCATTCAGAAAGTAATTGGACTAAGACCAATAAGTTAGCGTAAGGTAAAATCAAACAGAAATGAATTACCTGCAATGAAACGTTGTGAAAAAGTCAAAAGCTCTCCGAGATAGTTGAAAATAATGTTACATATTCGCTGGTTCAAATGCAAACTGTCCACTGTCAAATTGCTTGTTGATTTTTGACTTTTGCCTTTGAAAAGTATTTGCCTGATACGTTAAATAGTTGCTATCTGATAATACTATGATGAAGAGTCTTTTGTTCAAAAAATTGTCAACCGAATCTCATTTGATATATTATGGAATGATCCATAATTTTAGGAAAACAAATTAGTTAATATTAATAAAAATTCCAAAGATATTAACTGCTCGCTTGAAGGAACATTGGACAGTATTGAATCACATGCAAATGACATTTCTAATATGAATTGCTGAAGGAAATTACTGATATTAGTGTAACCAATGCCATTTTGCACTGAAGGAATTCCCATTTCGCAGCCAAAATCTGCGCGGCTATTAATGCTTAAAGTATTATTAGCGAATAGTAATTGTTGTATGATTATAATCACTTGAAATGGATTATCACCCAATAAATTCAGCGACAGTTCTTTGGCAAATCCATAATATGCAAAAATAGAAGAATTTTTTTCTGCCTGGAATTTTGTTGAAAAAAAAATTCAATTTTAGTACCAAAATTATTAAAAATACTTGAAATTAATTAGTCTTAGCTTGAAATATACACTAAGTTATGCCTTAAAGAGTACTCATGTTCATGAACCGTTTATCAAGTGATAACTCTAATCAGCTATTAAATTTGTCAGCAAGAAGTGATCATTAAAAATCAGTTCGCAAAAAAGTTCTGTCCAAGTTAGTGTCAGTTTAATTTCACATTCTTCAAATTGACCCAAATCGATGCAATAACACAGAGGAAAGAATACCTTAGCTTCAATTTCATGAAACCTTTCCTTCCCATCAAATTTTGCTACGATTGATATTTTTGTCGTTTGATTAGAGGGTAAGAAATATATAGTTATATGGCTATTATTGGCAATTGATTTGGGTAACAAAAATGAATACTTCTGGTCAGCCATTCTTAGAGGTAACACTGAAACGATTCTCCAACAAAACTTTATTCTTCTGAATATTCTTTTTTCTTTTAATAAACAAAAAAATAAGGGAAGAAATTCCGCAGTTTTATTAAATATCAAATTATATTACGCTGAAGAAATTAGCATAATATTACCTACAAAACTTTCACCAATTTCGCCACCAAAGAAACAGCTCTGTGTGACAGATACTGGCATAGAAGATTTTATTGCAATTCGAGAATCGTGGTTACTCTTATAAATAGTATCACTGTACGCAGCATAGAGCTTTGTCACCATTTTTTCATTTATTTCGAGCTGTAAATAAAAGCTTTGCTAAGCTCATCAACGAACAAAAATTATTAATTTTGCTAATTGAACAGCTTAATTATATTTAATTGAAAAGAAAGAACGAATAATAAAATATATTTCTCAATAAATTATAAAAACAAAGAAAGAAAAATGAAAGATAGAAATTTCACAATGGTTAAAGTCATTATTCACCTTACGGTGTGTGTAAGGTATAATGTTGTATGTCTTTTCAATTAAATTTCCTTTGATTTCACTGAGGTAACTAATGTTAACTTCCGCCACCATATATGGATGTGGGTTGAGAATTTCGAGTGTTAGAACGGTGGCTGAGTCGTCATTATTGTCTTCGATTGTAATCCACGGAAATAAAGTCATGAACGAGGTGCCAAAAATATCATAACGGTATGAGTGAAAATTATTTTCAACGATCCATTTTGAAGTTTCCATCGCATAAGCTACAGCTGTTAACAATTTAAAACTTCCGAGTTATTCTGAGTGGCAAACTATCTAATTAATCTAATATTCACTTTTCAAGTTATTAATTAGATTACATGTGAATAGCATAAACTTGAAATGCTGTTTATAGCTCAATTTTCTAATTCTAATTGTACGAGTACTGTCATATTTTAATAATCAAAAAACGATTACCTAACAGTAAAGAAAAGTCAGAAAAAGCTAACTGTTGAAAGCTGGCGCATAGCCATACATTTTTTCACTTCCACCGAAAATAAAAAGCAAATAGCGACCTTTTGATTCCAAACAATGCAATCCACGTGCTAACTTTTTTGTATTAATTTTACGCATAGTAATATAACGGAATGAATTCTCGAAATGTTGGATATATTCCACGTCCAATGCTTTCCCATCTAATAGGAAAGTATCCGACTGACGTGGCACATCGTAGAGCTGAAATAGCGGGTCATCCTATCAATCAAATGCTATAATGTTTGAATTGAAATTTTAAAGATCGGCTCATTACTTTCATCTTTCCTAATCAATCAATAAAACTTGGATCAAAGCAACTTCTTTACCTTCGAAAGCTGGTCAATTATTTTTGGTATATACTTTTTTATTGTGTCGCACACTATGTTATTAAATTTAATATTTTATCGCCTTTCCACTTCTCTTCTGTCATCTTTTTGACAAAGGGCTAAATTTTAAAAGTAATCAAACTGTGCCGCTTGTGCTCCAGTAACTCAGTCACATTGTTATTATTCATTAATTTGTTTAATATCATTTTCGCCTGTTGAAATTGATATAAATTGCAGAAATACTAACAAATAAACGTTCACTTTCATTTTCAAAAATAAAACACATTCGACCGGTCAGATATTGCGAATAAGCCGGTATAATATCCAGAAATGAACTGATGTTTTGGTAGGTTTCAAAACGAAGTAACTGGAAGAGAGTATTGCTGAAAGATAAAATAGTCAAACTGCTTCACTTTCTAAGTCCATACTTTCATTTCACTGCACAGATAAAAATCTTTGTCATTTTCTAATTAAGATCAAATATTTATTGTTAACCAATTAACCATTTATCAGTGAAATAGCTTATCTTTGGAAATTTCGAAATAAAAAAGTGTCATTGCTTTTTTCCACAGATCTTAAAATATAATTATTTTTTTCTCAAATTTTATTAAACTGAATGATTTTAATACTATTTAGAAGTATCTTTGAAGATTTCGAATAAATTTCATATAGCGATATAATATCGGCATAACATTTGTCATTTTTCTTGAAATTTCAAGTTCTCGTGGATTCGAAGAAATCTCGATTAGGTAGTCTCTCTCTCTCTCTCTTTCTCTCTCTATCGATTAGGCAGCATTTAGTAATACTATGATGAAGAGAAAGATGAAATGCAAAATAATAGGCTAAAGTATAACAAATGTAAAAGTAAGCCTTGAAGCATAGCCAACGATTGCATCATTGGCTCGATGACCCCATTCCATGGCAACGTCATCGGAGATCACGTCGGGTTTGACGTCAATTAGCTTTGTGCTATTGGGACGAAATGTAATAACGGTGAAAGACTGACAATTTTGCATTGGTGCTGCTAAGAAGAGTTCAGTTCGGTAATCCTTTGAAGAATCCAACGGAGCAAAATGAGCGTTAAAATCATCTCGAAGTGCTATTTGAGAATAAGCTAGAACAACGCACAATATGATATGAAAAGGTGATTCAAAACTTTTTCAATCACAGTTCAATCAGAAAACTTCCGTCTATTAATGTCACATATATTTTTTAATACATAATAAGTACGCTGTTTCAAAATTAATTCTAAGTTACGTGAAAATATTTTGCCATTCACGATTAATTTGTATTCATTGAGTTCATCGTTTCAAATTGATTTCAAATTAGAGAATGGAAGCAGTGTAAAATACCTTCATTTGGCAGTGGCATAAGCATCGTACAAGCAAAACTTTCGTAAGGGATTTGTTTCAAATGTGTTCGCATCGATAACAAAATCAGAAATGGCGATGCGCCCGATATGTACATTGTAGAGGGATCGTTGATCGAACTGTTATAAGCATAAATCATCGATCCGCGATAAAACTAAACATAAAATGGAAAATATGAAGAAAGTAATAGACTTGAAAGCTTGAAATAGATGAAATTAGAAGGTTCATGATTAAATTCATAATTAATGCAACCATCCATTTTCCTGCTAATTACTCGAATCTTCTAGGCATGGCCCCTGACATACTACATTTTACCTTACTATGTTTCATTTTGGACTGCAAATATATTTCCATAACAGATATGTGTCATTTTTTAATGAAAATCTGAATAAAAAATCAATCAATTAATTTCTTTTTTTATCACAAAGTCTACTCTTACACGTGAAATCGTACTGATCCGTTGCAAACCTTTCCTTGTGACAGATGTAATGCTTATATGTGAATCGGTAAATGTCGGTATGAAATATGCTGTGAATATACCGCTGAATATAGATGGCGCAATTGAGAACGAATACCGATTTGCAGCCATTGTTACCGGTAAAACTGAAAAAAGAGACGGGAAATTCGGTACGATTAAAGGTATCGCAGTGATAATCGAATTAAATTCTCTCTTAGAGCATAAAACTATGGTCTTTCATGGAGTTACTTCATTTGAACATTATTGCTAGCATTAGGAGAGAAGTCATTTTGATAACTGAAATCAGTAAAGTTTGAAATACTAACTGTTATCTGAATAATAAAATTAGATTAATCGTGTCTTTTTCTATTTTAAAATATATCATTGGGCAGAAAAATGCATGCCTGTGAAACAATCACCAATTTGATAAGAGATAAAAATACATTCTACGATAGAAACAGGTGAGCTGGAAGAAAGGTAAATTCTAGATGAACTGGATCGGATCAAACTTTTATTTGCTTCGTGTGATTGTGCCATCATTTTCGCACAAAATTTATGCTAAATAGATTATAAACAATTATAACAAATTTGCGGCCAGATTTTTGAGCACAAATTTCTAAGTTTTTAACTGAATGGTTGTAAGAAGATGATTTATTAACTAATTTTTATTTAATTAAATAAAAAAATGCTAACCGTAGTATAGGAGTTTGGTTGAACATTTAAAATTTCTCGTCGCATTTGTGTTTTGTTTTTCAGCTTTTCCATGCCATCGTCGTACTCAATGACAACTTTTGCTGTTTCATTCATCGACGCATTAATAATTTGAAAAGTGAGATTGCTGTTATTTGATATTCTTTTGCTCCAAGGAAATAATGTCACAAATTTAGTGCCAAAAGTACTCGGTTCATTTCTAATATTTTCCAATATTGTCGTTGGTAGTATTACTAAAAATGTTTGCCTAATTTAAAAAAAAAAAAAAAAAAAAAAAAACTTATTAGATTAATAAATAAATGCTTTTAATAAATGTTATAAATTTATGCGATTTACTTAATAGAGTTAATTAATATTTACATTATTCATAAGGTTGACGTAACATTTGTATATTAGCTATTAACTCTTCTTTTTACTAAATAACCCATTTCTTAAGCAAAAATTTATCTGAGTTTGAAATTTGGTGATAATTTAATATATTTTGTCATATTGAATGACAGTTATTAGTATCAGGCAACACTGCATGTCTCACTTATCAGTTATCAGAATGATTTTGAGAAAGTTCCACCCTTATCGATAAATCATGCTGACTGTTCACTAAAAATATTTTCAAACCAAATTTGTTTTAAATCGAGAATAATTGCATTTCACATTCTTCTGTCACATTCTGTGCTCCCAGAATGCTCGCAGAATATTTTAACAAACTCCCCTGAATTCAATTTTTCCTTCATTCCCTCAGTAGTTTATAATTTCAGTTCATCGAATCTTCAATACTTTCTTATTGCATTTCTTTAATTTAAGGAAGATTACTCACATACCTGAGAAATAAGTGATTATTTCAAATTTTCCAGGCATATTACAAATTAATTTAAATCCAAACAAAACGTACACTGAAAATTTGTTTAAATCTCCCATACTTTTCTTAAAGGCCGTTATTTTTTCCATAAATTTTTATCAAAATGTTGTGCTTGTAAGAAAAAAGAAATAGGCTAAATTCATGTTTTATGTGAAAATTTATTATATTTTTATATTTTGGCTTCTCAAATTCCTTTTTAAAAGCAACATTTAATTATTGGTGAAAGGTTGCAACAATGAAAGTTATAACACTTTTTATCTTTTCAACTTTTTTTTTTTTGTTACTGCAAATTAATTTAAAGGATAATTAAGTGAAACAAACGAATAAATTTCACTCGGATGTATCCAATTCAAAGCCTTGCTAAGGAAAAAATAAAACAACTAGTTAACAAAGTGTAAAAGTAATAATAAAGTTTGAAATGATAATAATCAAATTTTTATAATGCATTCAAAAAAAAACATTTTCAAATTTAATTTAATCAGTTACTGAGAACAAAAAAAGGCATAGAAAAATGTATATTTTAAAAAAGAAATAAATAAATAAACTTAAAACAATATTCATCTCAACGATACTGTATAAGTTATCATAATTATACTACAATGACTGAAAATAGTCTGAAAGAAAAAAACTGAAAATAATCTTTGCTAAAATATTTTTAGATTTCAAAAAAATTTTTAGGGAGCTACAAATGAAAAAGGATAGTGATATGAGAAATAAAATTCTGCATTAAATTAAACATTAAAAATAAATAAATAAATATGAAATACAAATAACTAAAGAACTAATTAATAGCAAATTATATACCATCAAAAAATAAAGGCGTTCATACGAAAATATAATTAAGAGAAATGAAATATGCAACTAATTTGAAGCTTAAATTTAAATATGAAAAGTTCATTTGATAAAAAAACAAAAGCAATGAATTAAATGATTGAAAATATTAAAAAATATCTTTACATTATTTTTTAATATTATAAAGATATTTAAAAGACAAACATTCTCAGTAAAATATAAAATGTAAAAGTTTGCAAAAATATAAAAATAAACTTAGCAGAATGAAGTGGTTTTTTTCTTGAAATATTATCAGATTGAAATATGCTTATCTCACAACAAACAATAATTTAATTTCAACTTAAATCAATGATGAATTTACAAATAATAGCCCTTTAAGGGGCTATTATTTGTTTCAGCAATTTAAGTTTTGTGTGATTGTTGGATATCGTAACGTGACGAATTTTATTCATTTTCCTGATCCAATTAATTCATTGTAACTACGTGGATCGGAATCAAAAAATTATCATTTTCAAAATTTTGCCATTTCGACTGCCTGAAATACAATCTGATTGGCGAATAGAGATTGTACAGTCAAACTGAAGCAGTAGTTTATAGCAAAATAATTTTATGATTAAGGAGGTCAACTGAACGAAGAATTCTTAATCTTGTCAAATTAGGAAATCGTTTACGGAGCCGACAAGCAATAAAACATCAAAAGATGTTAACTAAGTAATAAGTTGATAATTTTAACAGTATTCGAATCGGGGACAGTGGTGATTCTTGTTTGTAACGACAGCACTACTCATGTGATAAGTGTAGTGGATTAGGATGTGAGGAGGCAGCACTGATGGAAACGTTCATGAGTTGCAGATGATGGCGAGGTTGATTTCTACAATTTAGATTTGTATATGAGAGTAGACACTATAAATGTCTTTGTAGTGTTTTTTTATATTTGCTGAATGTTCTGGATGCGTTTGCTACTCTTTTGTAAAAATCCATAAGCCAAATATATATCTGTTTTAAATGACATAACATAAAAGCATTACAAATAAAATAAAAACTAAACAATCATACATGTGCCAATAGGATTTTCATACCTTCAAATCAAGACGAAACTTATTCACTAACTTGAAAAAAATTGCAGCAGAGTATGATCTGCTGGATCCAGCCGATTATTCCAGCCCTTGAGCTGAACGTGGCTGCATTCTTATGGGCGTTTTTTATTCGAAATACATTTTATTCATTTTTATTCGAAACATCAATTTGAAGATTATCTTTTTTCGCAAAAAATGTAAAATTATTCTTCCTGAAATGTGCATTTTAGCATAACTGAATATCATAAAGTAATAGAAATGTAAAAAATTTTTATGGTAATTTCCTAGTTTAAAATTAACTAAATATAAGCTTTTTTAAATTATCATTTATATCATTTCTTGTTTTCTTTGTTTATAATTTAAAACAAGTATTCAAATTTGCTTATAATGATTAATATCTTTTTAAATTGATTGAATAAATTAATATCCTTTGTATGACTGCAAAAGATTTTTTTCATACAAAATAATTATCAATTTTTATTTGCAGGTTTAATAAATTTGTAATTTTTGATAGCAATAAAATGCTATTTAATTAAAACAATTTTATCTGTCAACTCTTCGAAAAGAGTTCGTTGGTATTATGGTTGATGAAAATCACGGTGAGAGAAATGTTCGAGAGTCTCTTGAAGCATTAGCATATTCATAATAGGATGTTTAAAATTTAAACATACATTTATAAGCTTAAGGAAAAATAATAGTAAATTTCATGATCTCTAAAATGTTAGATTTTACTGAAATTAATGACCTTTATCCCAGTAAATCTATAAAATCCATGTGCAACTGAATCGTTCGAGATAACAAATAATTGAAAGATTTAAATAAACGAGTGGGATTTTAAATTTTCATTTGGACCCCGGGAGATGATGTAAAGTTGGGAAAGGTTAGAGGGGTCGATGGTTTGTTTGGTCTATTCTCTTCCTGAGAAACGCCGGGGTTTCTGGGAGTAACTTAGTGTGGGGCGTGCAGTAGAATTTCTACTTTATTTTCTCCCTTTGTAATTTTTTTAATTTTTGAATTTTTGTAATTTTAAAATTCATTCTGGCAAAAGCTTGATATTATTATTATTTAACTATGGAATGGTTTTGTATGATTATTCTCGAATATTTAAGCAAATAAATTTTCACTAAAATAGTGCTAGCATTGTGATTGTAATTTTTTCAAAAAGAAAAAAAGAACAAATTTAATAGTGGAACAGTCAGGTTTTATACAGTTATGTACGAATTTCAAGTTAAATTAAATTGAAATAAACGGAATAAGCGAAATGTCGTGATGTATAAGTAGCAGATGATTATATATTTTTTTTTAATATTTTTTAATATATTTTTTAAGCATTTACAAATACTAATAAAATTTGCTGTATAGTTATTCCTTCTCTTCAGGATGGAATTATTTGAAAGTTTGGAAGAGGAGGCATTACTTGCAATGGTGGATAAATATTGCTCGGAATCAGTCGATAATCCTTTCGAATCAGATATTAGAAAGTTTGATGCTACGGTTATCAACGAAAAAGTAAATTCGAAATTTGCTTTTCATTTCAGATTAATCGTTTCACATAAAATTCGTTCAGGGGCACTATGATATGCTGTCCCATGATCTGTGTTTTTTGGTTTAATAGAAATTGATGCTAGTCAACATGTTCGATATTTTTTATTTTTTTTTCAAACTCGTTTTTTTTAAAAAAGAAAAAAAATGTTTTTAAAATAAGCGCTATAAAATGGGACCAGATTTAAAATTTTCAGTTTAAAACGGGCATTAGTCTTCGAAAGCTTTTTATTACAAAGTCTCGAAGTAGTTTATATTTCAAAATTACTTTCTTCAGGCTATTATTGACAAACTGATTGATATTTATCCTAATTCTGTTGCACCACAATCCGTTGCAATACTTGATGCACTGGTCTATAAAATGAGTGGTCCATACAGGTTATCAATTTTTTAATCTTTATATAAATAAGCAACACATTAGAAATGCGATTTAATTTATATTCACTTTTTTTTTTTGAATTAGAAGCTCTATTCAGAAATGTAAAAATTATCAAATCTTTCATATATGACACCATAAAGCTGGTAATTATTTTTAGGCATGCCAAATTTTGGAGGTTCACTCGTCGTGTCTTAAAGGAATTAAACAAGTTGAATTCATTGAAACTCAACAAATATTTGAAAAATATCTCAAAGGTACTTCGTTGCATTTTTTAATGTTTATTTTTTACACGGTTAACTTTCTGTTATCATTGTTGACTATGATATTAGAAGATCTTTATGTTTTCGTTTTCTCACTGAATGTTGGAGAATTCAACGGAGACACCAGTACTGAGAGAATAGGAATTTCTTATTTTCAATGATTCTGTTCTTAAACATAACCTCTATCGATCATGATATTCAATAATTGACATTGCATTCTTACAATGGAGTTTTTTTTTTTGATTTCTTTTTTCTTGGTAAGCTTTACATTCTTTACGTAGTACATTCATTTAGCTATTTATTATTTGGGGAATCTCAAAAGATGCCTAAATTCAAATTCTTACTTATAGGATATGCTGAAATCAGAGATGCATTACAGTTTGAATGTTTGTGCAAAACGGTACATAGTAGCAGTGTTAATTTCCAGAGCAATCCGTAGTTGCAGGCTTCGAAATCTCTGTGAACAGGCTGCCTCACACTGTCTTCAGCATATACAGACCGGCCATCTGGTATATATACATTTTTTTTTTTGGTGGGATAGATACAAAACACTATTCTGTACTAAATATACAAAATGTTAAATATAGAGTAACAAAACGATGTTAGATATATGGTAACAAAACTGCTTTTTTTTCCGAAGTGGAACTTATAACTATTTATTTTTTGCCATCGATACTTAGTGTATAAATTTTCTAATATAAAAATATAATAGCTATTTTTTTTTTTTTTTCTTCGAAATGAAACTTAACGAATGTTTGCTTTCTGTAATGTTCCTGGTGGCTTTTTAGTTACAATCAAATTTACTGTTGTTGGCACTGAATGCAGATGTGTATGATGCTCTCAAGAAGAATATGGCCAAAATAGTAGAATGTTATGATTGCTTGCAACCGTTTCTTACCGATTTGAAGTATGAGTTGTCTAGTGAGAAGAAAGTTTTCATGGTTTCCGTGCGTAGCTTTCAGAAATAAATCTGCTGGTAAAAAAATGTCGCAAAAAATATATCTAGGACTAAATGATTAAACAGGTTGAGAATATCGTTTTAACCCTCATCGGTTAGATATTTCCTTTTTCAGTCTGCTACATATCAGAAGATTATTGGTGGCAGCAAATAATACATTTCAAAGTAGCAGATATTTGATTTCAACACTAAACTCCTTTCGCTCGATTGCTGGGATATGTGGTATTGAAGAAAATGAATATACTGATTTATTAGCTTCCACCAGTACATCAAAGACAAGCAAGTGGTACTTTTAGTTCTCAAATTATAATTATATGTAGATATTACATTCATTTATTCTTTTACAAAAATTATTTGCTTTGAAAGTCACATCATAATTTCTTTTTTTAAAGGGTTTTTTTTTAATTAGTAGCATGACTCTTACACAAACCGATGGTTCGATGATTCAGCTGAATTTATGATTAATTGAAGTGTCTTTCATTCACCCTATCTCACTTCAGTGGTAAAATATCTCCGTTATTTATCAGTATGATTCAGTGTGACGAAGTATGTACAAAACTGAAAAAAGATTAATAAAATTCCTTTTAAAATTTGTTGTTGGATGTTTAATGTTGTTAATGCTATGTTCATAAGTTAGTTGTGTAAATTTGTTAATAAAATTTTTGAGGCTTTGTTTTTTTATATATTCATACATTCGTTAAACTTTCGTTGTAAAGTAAATTAGTTCTTGGCATACATTTACTACAGGATATTAGATGCTTTACGTATACTGAATTTAAGTGGTGAATGTGATATAGACTTTTCGGATTTCGTCTTAATGGAATACAGAGTTTTCGTCTCAGTAACGGCTGAACGGAAACTGGTTTTAACATAAACAAGGAACTAGTGGTCCACGTTTGGTATGATTAGAATAATTGAATATTGTTGATGTGATGGATAATTAATAATCGTTTTAATGAGTTTTGGACTTGCTTCAAAGGATGCCAACATATCATGAAGAAGACTATAACCACTATTTCAGCAATCACCTCAGTAGTCATATTTCCACCTCTGTAAGTTTTTTGGCTATTAATTTGAACACAGTTTCTATTTCTTCCGGGTGCTACTTTGTGTTCTAATGAACATCTACTTTTGTTTCTGTTGTAACTTTATAATTTAACGTCGGAAGTTGGTATACATTGCCTACAACAGCATAATAATCAAAGTGTAATGTAATCTACATGTTATGGGGATCGATCAACGGTAGACAAATGCATATTTAGGCATTATGTAGATCTAGCTTTATGAAATATAGGATCATTAGAACAAATATTTGGGAAAAAAAGATCACCATAATAATCATAGTGTTCTCTGATAAACTGGAAATTAATCAGATCATGACTAAAATATTTTTCATTCTTATAGAGTTACAAACAATTGATCACTGAAAGTGTAATATTATCTGTAATTATCTACGGTGTAATCGTCTTGAAATTCCGGAAGCAGAAACATACATGGTTAACTGAACAAGTAACTTTTTTAATGTTTAATAAAGTATTACATATTAAATGTTCATTGCTGTACATTTCTTAATATTGTTCAATATATTGCTGAAATATTATAGCAGAAAGAGAGAATAATCGCAGAATGGAAACCAGAGCCATTGGTGCCAGAAATTCCAACAGAACATTCAGCCCTAGAAACACATTACTTTGATGGGTTGGATATTTTTTTGTTTGATATGTATAAACTATAAGTGAAATACGCATTTATAATTGTATCTGTATTGTCATTAAATTTCACGAATATTTTATTGTACAGTGGTCATAGCTGAATTGAATCTATTATATGGAATATTATAGTAGTTCATTTGTAGGAAAGTGAGCAAATTCGTTATCTATGATGGTAAGGAATATTTGAATTTAGCGACAACAAATTTTTTGGGATTGATTGGTGACAAAACAGTTGAGGTAATTGATAGTTTCAATTTTGCAGTTATTGTTGTATTTGGAAATGTCTGATGAACTTTTATTTAAATACTTCACTATTTTGCAGGAAGTTGCAAAAGAAGCAATTGCAAAATATGGCGTTGGTTCATGCGGACCACGTCATTTTTATGGCACGGTGGATGTGCATCTTGCATTAGAGAAGCAACTTGCCGATTTTTTAGGATGTGAGGAAGCGGTGCTTTATAGTTATGGTTTTGTAACTATTTCCAGTGCTATACCATCATATGCAAAAAAAGGAGATGTTATTTTTGTAGACAAAGGTAATCTCTTTTATCGCTACATTCTCTAAACACTTATCTGTGAGTAATAATTTAAGATTGAAATTAGTCTCAAATTGCTTTATCACATGAAATCCCACTGCTAAAAATGGCTTTAAAAAAATGTTAGAAAAATACATTAATAGAAGTTTGGAGGCAAAATGCAAAAACACTGTTAGCTATTAGCCAAAATAAATGTTAGAGATTACAAGCATATCCTTAGTTGCTACAGTCTTGCCACTTTTGGAAAATATGTAATGTTAGTGGTATTCTTAATAAACTGGCGATTACAAAATTCTTTTTTATTTGCGCTGAAATTGAATAAATTAAATTATAATGAGTGAATTGATTTTGTTAGGTTTCATGACATTTAGGAGTGAATTTTGCAATACAAGAAGGACTCAAAGCATCTAAAAGTCGTATTGAATGGTTCAATCACAATGATGTCAACGATTTAGAGAGATTATTAATGGAACAGGCTGAAAGAGACCGTAAAGTTCGTAATTCACATTGATATACTGTGCTATTTTTTAACATTTCTATAGCATTTTTTTACAATTCTACTATTTACTAACTTTACTTTTAGAAGGCTTCCATCTTCTGTTTTTTTTTTTTTTTTTTTTTTTTTTTTTTTTTTTTTTTTTGCAGTTTCCAAAATTAGCATCAAAAACAAGACGATTTATGGTGGTCGAAGGACTTTACATGAATAGCGGTGATTTGTGCCCATTGCCAGAACTTATGGCTTTGAAATGGAAATATAAAGTACGTATCTTTATTGATGAATCATTATCCATTGGTGTTATTGGCAAAACAGGAAGAGGTTAGTTCTTTTTTTTTTTTTTTTTTTTTCTGTTTCTTAAATAATTAATTGATAATTTCAGTAGAAACAGTATTCTTCATTCTATTTTTTTTTTTTTTTTTTATTTGTTTTCTAAATGGTATAAATCAAAACAATGTAAGAAAAGCGAGGAGTGCTAGAAATGGAATGAAATTCGCAAAATTTGTTGAAAAAAACAATTAGATTCTTTTAGTTATAATGTATTATTTATGTTAACTTTCATAGATTGTGCAATCGATTCAAACTAAATTATTAATGAAGTTGGAAACTCTTCATTAACAAAATGAGTATGCTATTAGCATAGCATAGCTTATGATACAAAACTAAAATGCAAGAATAAGATCACCATAATTGTTTTTAAATACAAAGATATGAAAAAATATATGTAATATATCTTAGCGGATGAAAGGAATGTCGCATTTGAATGACTCCTTTCTAAGATTGTGTCTTCGGACTGCATTTATCATATTCACTTGTGTTTGTAAGGAATGGAGTGTTTAAATTGAAAAAATAAAAAAAAAAAAAAACGGAAAAAAGACATTCTTTACAAATGATATGATAGTGTGTTTTGAATCGATGATACAAATTTAGATATTAACAGGTTTTATTCAGTTAGGCTTATATCTTGCAAAACTTTATCGAAATTCGAAATGAGCTGGGATTCTGTCAAGTTTCTCTTTTTTGGATTTCCAGAACATTTTAATAGTAAATTTAAAACATTGGATAATGACTTTTTTTACGGATTTCATAGTAGAAATATCAGTTGAGAGTTAGATGTAACCTATCAGTTGAATCAGATATAAGTCAGATGTAACTTAACCAAATTACGTCATCTTTGGCTAGTAGAAGAAGTGGCAAAGCTAATAATAAAACTGAACTGAGAGAAATAGTAATTGTACTTGAAGCAGTTTTATCTTTCATTTCATCTTTAAATGTTAATAATTTTCCATAGGTGACTAATAAATCAAGTGCTACTCCATTCGTCCAACCAAAGCCATCCTTAAAAATTAGTTTGTGTGAATTTTGTTTATTTACACTTGATAAATTTATCGATCGTGTAAGTTAAATTATCAAATTTAGTAGAGATTTTTCAAATATGTCAAAAAAAGTGCACTATTAAAAATTCCTAAAATGTCAAATTAAAATTTCCTATTTTTTTTTATTTGATAAATTCAAATGTCAGAAAATTTATCCTACTTCTAAGCAAATAAATTTTTTAACCTGTATTTCATATTCACCGCCTTCAGCTTTATGCACGTACGCTTTAGTAACATCATATTTCTCCCACATTTTACCATCTTTTAAGTAAGCTCGATAGTTTAAGTTGATCCATTTTTGTGCAATATCAAACGCTTTTTGTTGCATCCTATGAAATTCATTTTGTTCATTCGTATATATTATTATTTAAGTGAATATTTTAAAGTAAACATTCTTACTGTGACTTGAGCATTTCAAATATGGGTATATAATAAGATTTAGTTTTCATAGAAATATGACAGTACAAATGTATCAGCAAGTGCTTTCAAATAACCAACGAAGATGGAGCCATGCCAACAATATTAAATAGTTGAATGGATTGTTTAGGATTATATAATAAGCAGTATAATATAAAGATGCAACATATCATAAGTAACATAATATATACTTATACTGTTAAGATGAGAAATGACAAAATAATTCTAATAATTTATTTCATTTTTATCACTGATATCATATATGTGTTAATATTAACATTGATAACATGAAAATATGAAAATTTCAGATTTCTATTCAATAGTAGTAATATTAATTATATGAAATTGAAAATTACAATTCTAGAATAATATTTTAATGATATATCTATAAATACCTGTAATAATTAGATCTTCGTAATCCTTCAATAATCATATGATTTACATTTGCCCATCCATTTGGAAAATCCCATTGTTGATTTGTACCATTGATTAAACTAAACATTTCAAGTTATTTAATTTCATTTAAGTTGTTTTATAATTGAGATTAGTCTAATAATTTTGTAATATTTATCCCTATTTTTCATATTAAAATATTCCAAATTATTTATGAATTTTTTTTTTCTCTTTTTCGAAAACTATAATAACCAGATAGAATATAGATTTAATAATAAAATAGAATAATAATTAAATATTTTAAAAATGGAGTTATAATTTATTTATGTATACCTAACAGGAATTCCAAAGGGAAAATTTAAAAGTCCACTACGTTGTAATGTATTAAGTACATCAGTCATCATTCGTGTATCTAATCGTCGATAGCATTCAGCAAATAATGGTATTGCGATGGAAGGATATGCTTCATAATTTCGTTTACCAGTTCGTATATTTACATCATACCATGCTTTTTCTGTTTTATCATAAAATACATCAGTAAATGTATCGATGAACATACTCCGTTCTTTGTTTAGCTCATTTCGACGTGTTAAATTCCCTTAAAATTAATCTTCAATAAATGATTTTTTTGAGTTTTTACATTTTTTATATTTGTTAACTTTTGTTTTACTCATGGTTTCTAGATTTGCAATCTTTTTGGTTCTTTTTTTTTTTCTTTTTCCTTTTTGAGGAATCAAATATTTAAGATTTAATTATTGATTTATGAAATATTTTTGTGAAATATTATATTTGTCGCTAAACATTTAAATTTCTAATTTTATATTTAAAAAACAAATTTCACCTAATACTTAAATTTTATCAAATATAAAACTAACCAAGATGACCATGTATATGTGATAATATAGCCATATTCCAGCACATAAATGCATTTAAGTCAACTGGTGCTATGTTTGATGTCTCACAAGTTTCCATTGTTTTTTGATCAGCAAACCACCGACTACTGAAATCCCATCCTGATTCAGCTGCACTTGCTATATCACGCCAAAGAGCACGTTTTTTTGACGGTAGTACATGCTCAGTTGTTACGTAATCTTCACGATATGATTCTGGTCTAGAAGAAAACTCAAAATTTACACTTAACTTATGCTTTTTTTTCTTTTTTTTGTTTAATGATTCATATGGAATAATAAAATTTTTTTCTTCTTTTTTTCTTTTTTTTTTTCGCATTTGAGAAATTAGATAATTAATTATGATCATTTGTAACGTAAATCATAAAGAGATATAATAGTTAGAAATAATGTTGTGGACGGTGGATTTTTTATGTTCATTAGATATTTTTATAATTGAAGTTTTCCGAGATTTTCAAATTTTTATTTAAAAAAACGAGCAGCAAATTTTTAGGTAATTTTAGCCACAAAATGAACTACAATTATTAGATAGTAACAAAATTATGAATCATTATATATAAAAATATGTAGATAATAGTAATGTTACTGTAGGTAAAAATGTGTCTGCTACCAGACAGCAATCTGATAACATAAATAGATAACTAAATGATAATTGGGAGAAAGGAAAATATCAAAATTATTCATAAATTTTTTTAAAATATATATTTATCTATTTATTAAATACTAAAATTATTCTAAATGATGAGAAAATGATAAGATGCAAGAAAAATCTATTCATATTTTACCTTGGTACATTACTATCAGCTCGATAACGGAATACTGTATAGTTTCGACCATTCTTTTCTATTATTACTGTACGTCTTGTCTTCCAAAAGAATAACTCCTGAAATTGCTGATAAAGATTTTATACATTATTCTAATTTATTTAAATTTTTGTTTGTAAAATAATTTATTATTTTATTCATTGTATCAGTGATTTGAATGGTTGTTTTTGGATTAATTTTGAAAGTTAGTTTTGAAATGAAACAATGAACAGATCTTTCTTATGGCTATGATCGTCCCAAATAGTAGATCTACGATAGATTTAAGGATTAAGCATAATTTAAAGTATTTCTAATTGTGAATAATTATCAGTTAAATTTACTTTTTCCATAGTTTCAATTACTGAAGCCAAGAAATCATCATTTTTTGTGGCTGCATAATATTCGTAAACCATTGGTATGAATAGTGGTGGTTGTGATCGTCGTAAATAGTAGATTCGTCCACCATTTGGTATAAAACCAAAAGTATTTATTAGATAGGCAAAATTTTCAATCATTCGACGAGTTGTATTTTGCATACCTAAAAATGAAATAGATATCAAGCGCACTTTATATATTTAATTCTAGATAATAAATTTTATCTAAATTATAAAATTTATGATTCTAAACTTCATCATTGACACAGTAGACATTTAGATCAGAAGTAGTATATAAAATATTAAGTTAAGCATTATTTCTAATTTCATCTTGTTGAATTTATATTCTACAAAAATATGAATTCTCTTTCGTAGTTTTTCTAAAAGAAAAAATTGAAGTATTGAATGGAGAAGTTTACTATTAGAAATTAAAATCTTTTAAAAGCAACATTGTAACACGTCTCACCAATAGTTTTTCAGTTTATTGATAATCTTGATTATCAGCTAACCTGATGCCAGAAGTCCTTTTATAATCCAATAACCATCCCAATAGTAATATTCACGGAAACGTCCACCTGGCACAATGAATTCATTCGGTACATAAATTAGCGAATGTCTTTGTGGTTGTTCTTTAACCTAACAATAAAAATTTGATGAATTTGTTTAAGTGTAAATTGATTGTAATCTTAAATTAAATGTTATATCATAATAATGAAAACCTTTGACAAAAAAGTATAACTTAGGTTGAAAAAAAATTCAAAGTTTAAAAATTTTTCTTTCAGCCATATTAATTATTAAACCAAATAATCTTAGGGTTGAAATATTTACAACTTTTGTAATTATTCCATCTATCGATATTATTATTATTCGAAAGAAGAAATAACCATAGAACGTTTTTATATAATTTACAAAATAACATCCTTTAAAATTTCCTATTATTAATTATCTATCAAATATTAGCAATTGTTAGATTTGTAAAAGTTTCAAAGTAATTCTTGAAATTTATGTAAAAGATGAGAATTGTTAAAAGAAGAAGATATTGATCATTTTCAGTTTGATTTTTTTTCCTTGATTTCTGAATTTCAATTCATTATGAAAGATTGTGAAAGTCATTGGAATGAAAAACTTTTATAAAAAAAATAACTAACTTCTTTTTTTACAGTTCTGCATAAATCTTTCCATATGTAATTAATTTGAAGTGCAAACTTTCGTAAAGCATTATTTTCGATAGTAAGCAATCGTTCAGGTTCCTCTTTCCAGTCTGACAATTCACACCTGTGAGATAATTGATATTTTGATTGGGAAGAAAAGAAGAAAAAAATTCTTTCTATTTTGAACAGAAAAAATTTTTTTAAGTCGTGAAATTGTTTTTAAATTTAAAAAAAAATGCAAATTAAAAATGCAAAGGAAGGAGACAAAAAAAAGTTCTTTCTAATTAATTAATTATTTAAGAATACTTTTCAACATTATATGGTAAAAAAAAAAAAAAAAGGAAAGAATAAAGTATTTACTCATTAAGCTCTTCTCCTTCAGCGCCAAAGTTATCTTCAATGAATTGTTTCACATTTTCACGATCGTCTTCTGTGATTGCTTTTGTAAAACGTTGTTGAAAATTAGCAATTACCTCATTTGGATCTTTTTTTAATGGCTTATCAACAAATGTTTTTGAATCCTTATATAAGCCAAGCATCATTACTACATGTAATATATCTCCTTGACAATAAATTTCTGCTGCATCAGAATGATTTCTATCACATGCAAATTGTGGTATTTCAAATTCTGAACTTAAAATATCATTTTGATTCAAAATTTTTTCCTTTAATAACTCAGTTGAGATTATCGTATCATTATCATCAGCATTAATTGTTGTTTCAATTATTTTAAATTGATCAGGAAATATATTTGTTGTTGTTAATGTTATCGTATCATTCTTTGTAATATTATTAGCTCGTCGTTTAATTCGTTTTACAATACAGTATTTGTCACAAAAGAATTTCTTCTCGTTATATGCACTATTAGCGATGAATAGTTGTTGGAGCAAAATGATATATGATATTAGGAACAATATTAAATACATTTGATCTGAAAATTAATATTCAAAAAAAAAAAAATACTATTTGATCAAATTTTATCAAATATACGAGACATAGAAATTAAATAATATATATATATAATGACAAGATTATGTCATTATTTCATTACATCATTGATAAATGGATCGATTATCTAAATGCATGATTTGACATAATTAGTAATGGGAATGTTTTCAATCAAAAATTTGTTTTTAATATGAAATGATCATTATAACAGTTATTAATATTTAATATGAAATGATCATTATAACAGTTATTAATAGATGATTAATATTTGTAATATATCATAATGATAAGATTATTTCAATGCTTCATGAATTTTTCATCAAAAACTAGAAAATAAGAAAGATTGCTAAGAAAGAAAAATTGATATAATAAATGAAAAGTAAATTAAAATTAAAAAAAAGTGAACAAACAAACAAAAATTCGATGAGAATATACAATGATGGAGGATAAACTTTTTTTGGTAAGGTAAATAAAACAGTATGTAATGAATTTTTTCTCTTAAAATTTAATTCTGAATTTAGCATAATAGAGTTGTAAAAAAAGAAAGAGAAAATAATCTGAGCTATTTTGCCATATAATTTGAGTTTTAATTATAAAATATATGAATTGTGCATTTATTTATAAAATTGGAATGAAATTAAAGCAATAAAATTTGTAAGAAAAAAAATTTTGATGTGAGTTTTTCAATCCATTGCCATAACTTTAGAGACTTATGGAATAGATTTGCTTTGCTTTTTTTAAGAGGAAATTATATTACTAGTCAAATAATATAACAAAAAGAAAAAGTAATTAAATTTGGAGTGAAATAAGTATTATTGACTTATTAATTATATTGTTGAACAAAATCAAGAAATATGCTATAAATCAAATAAATAAATGCGAAAAAAATAAAAAAATATAAGTAGCTCTAATGTAATTTTGAGATTTAATTAAGTTTCAAAAATAAATTTATTTTATGTCTGAATAAAATACTCTTAACTATATTATTATAAGATTTTTGTTGCTTTTCTTTTTCTTTCCATTATTTTTATTGCTGTTACAGTAGTTTTAAAAGCTAAATAAATTTAAAGAAATTGAAATGACGATAAGACACAGATAGGGTTAATTATTCATGGCATCTTTTTCATAATATCATAAGTTGTTTATTTTTCTTTTGCTGAAATTATCATTAGATATGATTGTCACATTTGATTGATAAAATTGTTCTCATATGTTTTCTACAAATATTTGTTTATTTGTTATTAACATAAACAAACTTACACAAAGTTATTCCAAGAATGTAATAAACGAGGAAAAAAAGAAGAAAGTAATTAGTTGCCTTAAATAAGCAACTTTTTTAATAATATTATCAATTAAAAATAAATATACATATATTATAAGATTATTTGTAAATGCTATTAAGAAATAATTACTAAATCAAGTTTCTTTTCTTTTTTTTTGATTGAGAAAAGGAGAGAGAGAGAAGAAGAAAAAGAGGGAAAGAGTAAGTAACTCTTTTTTTTTTTATTTCATGATTTCTGATAATTTAGCAATAAATATGATTATCCATTGTTTAGTGAATTTATTGCAATAAGTCATGGAAGAAAAAAGTAAAAAAAGCGAAAAAAAAAACAAAACAAAAAGACAAAGCTTAAGTTCGAGTGAATTTCAACAATTTGATGCTTCTAACATTGACTTAGCATCACCTTTCATCACTTATTACACATTTTGCAGTATTATTATGTCATCAAACAATAAATCAATAATGTTAATTGAACTTAATAATATCATAGAATTATTTCATTTCTAAGGTAATGACGAAATAGGTAATACGGTTTGCTGTCAATAAATTACCACCTATCTCTACTACTAATTAATTGCTTAAAAAAAGAAACGAAAAAAAAAAAAAACTAACAAAATAACTGGTATAATCAATTAGTTAAAGCAAAACCATTGATTATACCAGTTATTAAAATATTCGCTAAAGTACACTTTAAAGTGAAGAAATAAATTTCTTTGCTTATAAATATATAAATTATTATTTAATTACAAATTAATTATAGATATTAATGCGAATTTTAATAATTAAAAATTGTTTTAAAAAGTTTCGGAATTATTTCTTAGCAATTTTGTCTTTTTTTTGCAAGTAAAATGATTCTATGTCGAATGAATGAAATTATGCTATATAAAATGGATTGCAGGTGAATTTTATGATTTCCTCTCAAAATTTATGAAAAATTAATAATCATTAAACATTTTCTTTCGATCATCGAAATATTAATTTAATTATGTTCCTTTCATGGTAACTAATATAGAAATAAACATATCTTCTTCAACGATCAAATATTTTGTACTAATTATTAGCTCATCTTGATCTATTGTTTCAGGTGGCATCAATTTAATTCTAATTATATCTTATCATATTTTTATCACTTCTAATAATTAGTGGAATTTATTATTTGCTGACGAATAACTTCTAACCTATCAATCTTTAATTGATTTTAAAATCTTTTTTGATAAATTATATATGCATATTATTTACATTATAATATTTGTTGTAATAGCAGTGAAATAATTTATTTTAGGGACGAAGATAATGAATTTAGCTTAGTATTAGAAGGTATCATATCATTTAGAGATAATTTTTATTAATCTCACTGGATAATTTTAACGTTATCTTTTCCATCTTTTCCCTTTTTTACATTTTTTTTATTATCATTTTTTTAAAATAAATTGTATAAGTATTCGCAGATATCGTAAAGAAAACTATGAAATGACAAAAAAATGATAACCTATAAGCTCTTAACTGCAAAATAGAAAAAGCATTGTAGTAAAACAATTTACTGAACATTCTTTTTGTGCTGATTGCAAAAGATGAAAAAATGTATTTCCAAATCATATTTTAAAATTCTATGCAATAAATTTTAATTTTTCCAATAAAATCAAAAATTTTGATCTTTTGCCAGCACTTGTAATGCTATTTCGTTGAATTTAAAATAACATATAACAAATTTTGTGTCTAATTTTGAGAAGATTTTGTAGCCAAAATTATATTTTAAAATTAAATTATTTCTATAATTTCTTTCTTTGAAGATAATTTTATGCGATTATTATAAGATTAAGCAGATACATATAAAAGTTGAAAATATTGACATATTATTGTATGAAAACATTATCAATCAGATATATATGCGTGTATGATTGATAATTGTTTTATTATCACATTGTAGAATAAGAAAGATAAGCAAAGGCTTTTTATTTATAAGGAATTTCTTAGCTTATTTCTTATTTCTGTACAAAATTTCATTAAAATTTGAGCAAGTATTTGATAATTGAATAAAAAATAGCTAAATTAAGCATTTCTCATTTTTTTTTTATAATCGAGATAAAATCTCTAATTAATCTCTAATTAGATGATTGTGTTTACTCTATGGTAGCATAGTATAATCTGAAATTTGTATGGAATTTTCAGGAAAAAAAAAATTGATTTTTAAGAATGGATAAGATTCTGCAATTAAATTAAGGAAGATAAAATATTTTATTATAAATTCATAAATCAAATTCATTTTATTTATACTATTTATGCTTGATTTTATTTACATTAAATTCATTTCATTCATATTTTATTATTTGTGAATTCATGAATTAAACTCATTTTATTTATATTGAATATTAAATATCTGTTCAATTAGGATTATATATTATTAAGTTATTAAAACTAGAAAAGCAAAAATTCATCAAATATAATAAATTTAGTTTCAATAATTATTATTTTTGGTCAAAATTTCCAGTAATTTTCTAGTAATCGATAATTGCTGATTTATTTTTATTTCCATTAATTATTCATTTGTATTATTTGTATAATTTTTGAATGAAATTTTTTTCTGTGCTCATTTTTTTTTCCTTTTGATTTGATTTTCTTTTAGAAAATGTCAAAGAAACAAAAGCAAATTTATCAAATATCATAAATTTAATTCAATTTGTTTATATTGATTATTATATATTATTTATATATTTTTTTCTTCTTAAAGAAAAAATGTTTGAGGTGTAACGGAGCATTTTGGAATTGATATAGCTGACTGTGATATGATTGTCGGCTCATTAGAGCATGCACTCTCAAGTACTGGTGGCTTTTGCGCTGGGCGGACATTTGTCGTCTATCATCAACGTTTATGCGGTAGGTTAATTATTTTAAGTTTATTATTTAAATTAAAAATTTTGAAATCTTTTCACGTATTTTTTTCTCGGAATTCATTATTAAATAAAAATTGTTTTATTTCTTTTTCATTCTTTACCTTTAATAATTATTGAAAATAGCAAATTTATTACTTTATTTTTTGTGTTTCATTAATATATTTTACTATGAAACATTTTTTTTTTCAAACTTTATGACGAGATAAATAATTTAAGGTAAAATAAAAAAAATGATAATAATTTTAAGTATGAAATAATTTTATTATTTTTTCATTTCAAAATTTTTATCATTTTATTTCATTATGTATTTTTTAAATTTGATATAATATACATATATTAATTCACTGTATCATTATTCATTCATTTGTTTTATCATTAGATTTATTTATTTATTCAAATCTAATTACTTATATGATTAATCAAAGTGGAATTATCATGGTTCTTCGTTTTTCTGTATTTTTGTTTTTTTTTTTTTAATTTTCTTTTTACTATTCAAATCTAGATTTTCTTAATCTGTTATTATTCTAATATTAAATTACTGAATGCAATTGTGCAATTGCAAACTTTCCTAATATATTTACAAAGAGGGGACTGATTTTATAGTTAAAGCTAAAGCTTCTAGAATAGAACTAATATTTAATACTTGATCTCTAGCATGCAACGTTCCCCATATACTTTTATCATTTTTTCTTTTTATTTTATCTCTAATTTTAAATAAAATTTATTGGTTTATTTCAAAAATTGCGTTTCTTTAATATTTTGAACAGTGCAATTAATTTTATAACCCTTTTTTTGAAAATTTATCAAATAGAAATATAAAATTTTTTTGGAATTTATCAAATTACAATGAATTATTCTGTCATAGTTATCAGTTGTTAAATACAAATTTTTATTTATGTATATATTTAGTTGTTTATTTTTGCTTTTCAGGTTTGGGTTATTGTTTTTCAGCATCATTACCACCACTACTAGCAGTTGCTGCAAGTGTGTTCCGTTTATATCATTTTTCTTCTTTTTTTTTTCCTTTATTTTACAATAATTAAACCATTTCCTTTCTTAATTTGGTGGAATAAATGCAAAAAAAAAAATTTTTTTTCATTTTGTCATATCAAGCTAGAAATCTATTTTATATAATATGATAAGATTTGTTTTTAATCTAAAATAAAACTAAAATATGAAAATAAAAAAAAAAAAAATAGGAGAAGAAAAGCGGATACTAGTTTTATAATTTATAACTACTCGTTCATTAACAAATTGTCATATAATTTCTCTTTCATCTACTGTATTACCTTTTTTGCTGTTTTTTTTTTTTTGAATTTCTTCGGAAAAGTGTAAAAATATTCAACTGGTTGCCAATATTTTATTCTCATCAATTTGGATTTTTATATTTAGTTCTAGTCCTTTTCTACTATGACATTTTAATCAAAAATTTACTATCGAAAATGAAAAAACTTGAAGTGAAACAATTAAAAATATTTTTTGCAATTTAATTTAATTTAATTATTAGCTTGTCAAAGTTCCAAAGTATTTTATAGTCTAACTTTAGCATTCAAAAAACTGAAACTCAACTATATCTGACATATTCATTTATTTCCTTCCGAAATAGATAACAAAAACTGAGAAATCTGAGATAAATTTTTGTGATTTGATATTTTGCTATAATTTGAAAAAAAAAAAAGAAAAACGGTAGAAAATTGTTTAATTTTAGAATGCTAATATAAAAAGAAATAATCGCATCGACGTTTTACCAATTATAAATTAGTTTGAAATATAATGCTATTTAAAAAATTATAACAGTATGGTAAAACATTGAAATTGCTGTGCAGAGTAAATAATCTTTAATAAAATCACAGAATTTCAATTAAATTCAAAAAATCAAAAAAATGAATTCGAAATTAAAACATACATAGTAATTCAAAAAAATGAAAAACATTTGTAAAATACAAAAATTTTATATCAAAATTTTTCTTTTTTCAGGTAAAGGTCTTGATATTATCTGTAATGATCCGGAACGTTTAGTACGTCTACGTCAAAACTCTAAAATAGTTATCAATGGATTGAAGAAAGCTTTCGAAGGTACAAACTTTATGATAAATGGTGATATATTAAGTCCTTTACAGCATATCTATTATGAAGGATGTAATGCTGATCAAAAATTGAATGCATTAGTCAAAAAGGTAAGTTATTTCTACAAAAATAAAAAAAAAAAAAATGAAATGAAAATAAATGAATTTATAATAAATGAATTCAGCATTTATAATGCTATAAATTAGCTATTTTTATTACTTCATAGCTAAAATGAATTAAAATTTAATGATATAATGAATGAGAAAAAGTAAGGTAGAAAGATTTTTTTTTGTAGCACTTTTAAAAAAGAAATTCTTTTTTTTTTATTTTATTTATTTTGTTATCAGTTATTGATGAGATTAAAATTTTTTAATTTTCAGATGCGTAAACGAGGTTATTTGTTAGCTCGAGCTTTTTATCATGCAGAAGAATCATTTACACCTAAATCAAGGTAAATAATTATTATTTTAAAAGCGTCACTTTTTTTTCTTCACCCTCAACAATTATAATTAAAATAAGTTATGGTAAAATTGGCATTAATTTTATTGAAAATTTTTGAAATGTCTGTTGCACATTTCATAAATTTTCATTCGCAATTATTATATCATAATAGCTTAGCGCCATTCGACGTAATTAATATATCTCTCATTGGTAGTATAATTTCTTCTATGTTATAATACTAACACTACTAACCTTTAAACATATTCAACATTTAACTCACTTGTTTCAATTCTTTTTCTGTTTTTGATACCACTAAGAACGATTCTTATCAATTTGATAATTATTATTTTCATGGGATTATTTTATAAGTCCTTTTCAGCATACGATTGGCAATACAATCGGAAATGTCATATGATGAATTAATGACATTTGTTGCAACAGTGAGAGAGGAAGTTTTTAATTAAAGGTTGATTGAAACAGTATAAATTTATTTTCTTGTTTTTAAATTTGTGATAAATTTTGAATATATTTTTATATGTGAAAAGCATTACATACATTTTAAAAATATACAACTGAAAAGAAAAAAATCAAATCACTAAATTTTCCATTTTGAATATTGCAAATGGATGACGTCATCAAAGAAAAAGAAAGAAAAATTGTCATTCATTCAAACTATTACATTCAACGATGTTCAACAATAAATTCATTCGCATGAACTTTAAAAATTCAAAATAAAATTCCATGTGAATTGAAAATATGGAAAACAATGAAACATTACAAGCGAAGTGAAATTATTAAAATTTCGAATCAATTCTGTTCCAAAATACAAACGGACAATATCAGCAAAAATTTTTTCCTAAAATTTTTCTTGATTTTGTAAAAGTTTAAAAATATTTTATGAAATTTTTTTAGAAAATCTTATACAGTTATTCATGATGATAAAATTTGATGTAAATGATAATACACAATTCATAGAATATATGGTATAAGAGCTTTTTGATTATTAAAAAATTTATGAAAATGCCTTTTATACCAATTTTGATTTAATAAAGCAGCAATAGTTTGATTTATAGTAACAAACAGAAAACATAGTAGCATTGGTGTTGACAAATGATAAATTAATGCAAATAAGAAATAAAGTATAATTTCAAGGAGATAATGAGGTGACAAGCAATGTTCAAAAAGGCCACCATTCGGTATTGCATATGTATTTGCATTTACACCTAGAATTTATCATATATAATTTTTTAATTTTGCAATTTGCAATTTTATTAGTCGTAGCCAATTTTTTAATTTCATAAATTTACATAGTAGTCATTTGAATAATCATTTCCATTACAATATTTAACTCAATTGAACTTATTTTACTCTCTAAGGCTTTTACAGCATAATTGTTTTAGCTTTTCCTTTATTTGTACTTATCAATTTAATAACATTTGCTTGTTATAATATTTGCACAAATTTTGCATCATTTTGTTCATTCTAAACGATTAAAAATAAAATTTAGTAATATTTCTATAAGTAATGTTTGTTTTGTCTAAATAAAACTAAAATACATGTGAAGCTTAAAGAATTTCAAATAAAAAATATTCCCTTTTTTTTTAACTTTTCAAAAATCAATTCAAAATTACGGAAATTTATTTTCAACAAATTCCCCTTACATTAGCATTTTTTTCTTCAAATAAATTAAAAAAGCTAACCGCTATTCAAGCGAAGTTGAGCAAGTAGAACAAAGCAATGATGTTGTTTAATTTGAACAATAAATATAGCAATAGGTAATGCTGTATAAAATAATATTGTTAAAATATTTATTTCTGCAATTACAATATATAAAGGAAGATAAGTTGATTAAATATTTTTTTGAGATTAAAAAAAAAATTTTTAAAAACGTAAAAACCTTGAAATTTAAAAATCAAAATTGAAAAAAAAATTTTTTTAAGATAGATAGGAACTTTGCCTGTTTTATTATTTAGCAATGTAAACGATGCAAGCTGTGAGCAAACACAAAATGGATAAAAAGTGATTCCTAAAAGGAAATGTAAAATATTCATGCTGGAATCAGAAAAGATCGATACGTATAAGCACTCGTATAAGCGACGTATAACGTGAGTTAGATAAAGTAAAAGACCCATTAAGTTAAAAATAAGATTATCTGAAAAACAAATTTTTTTTGAAGATACATTATACAATTATCTATAAATCATAGCATTCTTTTCTTATACTAACCTTTACATTTTACGTTTGCTAAATTTACATGAAAAATTTTAACTGTAGTGGAAAAATTTGCAGAAATTCATTCATTTAGAAGAAATTCTACAGAAATTAAAAAAAATTATATATAAAGTAATGGAAAATGAAAAATTTTAGGAAATGACATACCATTGTATTGTAACTTGCTATTAATAACAATATCAATAAGAGCAAACAGAACAGCAATGGAAGCAATTAAATAAAAAATCCAAAATAACCTTAAGCAAATTATTAAAAAAGAAAAATTGAATGGTTTAGTAGTTGATTTATTTCTAATATGACTGAAAGATGCAATCAAACAAAAAAACAAACCTTTTTGGCATTTCGATAATTCTTAACCAAGTCTTAAAATTGTGATCATTTCTAAATTTGCCGAAATAAACAAGACCCATAATTGTTTCTGTAAAAAAAAAAGAAAAAGAAAAAGAAAAGCTGGCGATATTTATAAATTCTAAATAGTTGAAAATATAATAAATGAAAACAAAAAAGAAAATCATTTTTATTATATCAAAAAAAAAGAAAATGCGAACGGAATTAGTCGTTACCTGACTTTCTGACCTTTCGTAGAGCAAATATTCCAAGAATGCAAATGACCACAGTACATGCTAACCAGTATGTGATGCACAGCTGATATAAGCTAAATGACATCTGAAAATTTGAAAAAAAAAAACATCCTTACAATTTCGAAATAAATTCATTTTACGAAAAATACATCGTCACTTTACCTTCTTCATTACCAATTTGATAATTATTACAAGAATTATATTGCTATTATTATTATTATTATTATTGTTATTACTATTATTATTATTATTACTATTACTGCTAATTACTATTCATTATTATTACTAATTATTATTATTATTATTATTTTTACTGTTGACTATTAACATTAATTGTTATTGTTATTTATTATTATTATCAATTATTACTATTTATTATTATTATTAAATTATTAAACCATTGGTGTTATTATTACTATTATTAATTACTGGCATTATTATTATTATTATTAAATTATTGGTGGTTATTATTGTTATTGGTTATTATTAATGATTATTATTATAACATTGTTTATTATTATTAATTAATTAATGTCATTTATTATTATTACTAATTATTATCAATTATTATTATTATTATTAATTAATTAATTACTATCAAATTATTATTATTAATTAATTAATTATTATTACTATTAATTTTTGATCATTGTTCTTTATTGTCATCAAAGACGTTCTTCAATTTCCAAGTTAGAAAATTGATTTTAGTTCTAGTCGACATGCCAGCTTTGTAGAGTCGAGAAATGTATACACAAAGACATGCATGCACAATTACATCGATTACCGTTATGGATGAAAGGGAAGGAGGAATGCAGCAGATATCGAGTATCGAGTATCAATATCAGCAGAACTAGTTAGTGTATGTCTTTCGGATTATTGATAATTCGATGGACTGAAATTCCATTTGCAAGTATGGATAATCAATGGGCAGAAATAGAATTCCAATTCTGTCGTCGATTAAAAAGACACTCTGCTAGCTTACTGCAACTACCACTCCTATATTTCCAATATATTATTTCAATAATCTATATATCGACTGAGGCATTGATCTTCAGTCTTTCTAGGAGCTTGAAATAGCACTTATTGCTCTTCATAGAAGTATCCCTGCCTACCTCTCTCTCTCTTTCATTCTTCTATAACAATAATTTTTGAATAAAGAAAACTTCTTCTGATAATTATAACTTAATTAGACTATCAATGAATAGTGCTACATTTACTTTGCACATACTTTCAAAGATGATAGAACTGATGACAATGATGATAAAAGCTATAGTTGTTGCTGGTTAATACTATGCGACAGATAACTAAGATAATTAATTAATTAACAGCTCCGAAAACTATTCCCAATTTCCCATTTTCATTCCCATAAGCATCAGATATGTATTTCGTTAATTCAACAATTTGAAATAGCTATAAGAGAAAGACGACCTCACCCAATTCATTTACAAATACCTTTTCCGAAATTAATTGAAGATCAAATATTTAGATATTGGATAATATATTTAAAAATTAGTTCGTTGTGATGTGAAAGAATGTGATTTGAAATAACCAATAGCAATGCGACATTCAAAAATATTCAGGCTAATCGAAAAGACATTTGTATTACTCACTCATTAGACAGTGCAATATGATCAAGTCTCGATAACCTTAAGATTGTCACACTGATATTCAACAATTCGTAATAAAAATTAGCCATAGCAACTAGATCGTCAAATCATATAATATAAATAAATTTAACTATCCTGAAGTACTCAACTGTATAAAGAATTTAGTACTAATAGTAATAGATGATGCATGTTGCATCCATTACAACCAATAAATGAAAGAAAAATGGGAAAATAGTTAACAAAGTAAGAATTCAATCGACATCTACAAATTGCTGTAAACAAATGAGAGGAAATAGTTTGATTTGGAAAAATTCTTTTATGTTCCATGAAGTAAACGAGATGGCTAATTGTATATACCAGGTAAATTTAAGCTTTTTCTCGTGTTCATTTTATTATTTGAAAAAAAAAAACTGCAAAAAAAAAGGAAAAAAAAAATGGAAAGAACAGTAATCACAGCATAGGTAATATTATTTATTATATTATAAAATTCATAAAATTTCCAGAAGTATCTTTCAAATGATCATAAGTTTCTCTTATAAAAGTGTTAGCAAAGTAAAAAAGGAAACAGATTATGAAAAAAATGCTAATAAGAATCAAAGTAAATCACTCAATAGTATAACTCACTTTTCAATTTTCAGTTGAAAAAAACATCATATAATCGAATATAACGTTAAATACAGTGACAAGAACTGTAGCATAAACAATATGGTCCTGATTAAATGAAAATTTGCTTAGAAAATGAAGTCTTAACATCACTACAAGAAACTTATTTACTTTCATGTACGAGGAAAAAAACACTTCTGTTACTTATTATTGGAATAAGATAGTCTGACAAAAAAAAGAATGAAATGAAAAAATTGAATTTTAATTATTATTTGTCGATAAGTATGCACAAACATTTGGTAATAAATGAAGGCATAAATTAATTTTGTAACTGTGCTTTCAAATTTGATATTGTCTTCAATTCCATAGCAACATTTGGATTTTTCCCTTTTTCTGAAGCTTCTTCATAAACACTTCTCAATTTTTCGATAGCCATTAATCCACTCTGTATTATTTCCTTTTTCTTTTGACCGCTGCTTTTCGATGATAAACTTATGCAACACTGAAATACATCCCGTTCACTCTCATATTTTTCCTGTTTCTCGAACTTATTTTAAATTATTCAAATAAATCTCAATGAATTTGACAAACAGTAAATTTGTCAAATTTCGTTAATGTTTGAAAACATCGTACATCCCAATAATTTCATGTAGATCATTTTTAAAAATAAAATATGATGTTTTATTAATCATGGCAAGAACAATAACCAATTTCACTAAATTATAATTCATGTTGATTTCGATATTGAGGATTTGAGGAAGACTCACCAAAATTATTCCATATAATGAACGACAACATGATGGATTAGTTCGAACAGCTTGTTCAAAATACGATTTCGCAAATTCAATATTTTCTGAACCACCTTGCGTGTAACGTATTTCCGCAAGTCGCCGCAAATACAAACTGTTATGTGGCTAAAATAAGATACATAACAACGAGAAAAACTCATAATCAAACCGTTTCCAGAGAAAAAAATAAAAACAAATTTCAAAGCTTGTGATACTAGTGCTATAAGAACGAAATATCTCACATTCAGATATATTTTAATACTGAAATCAATTTTAAAAAAATATTAAAACAAACTGACACTAGATAAAACAAGTTCCTCCATGCAGTGTGCTGCATGTGGATGATCACCCTCTTGCAAATACAGGTCAGAAAGTTCCAGCCATGCTTCTGTATCAGAAATAAAAGTTTTCAAGTATTCGCTCAATTCTCGAATTGCTTCCTGTCGATTGCCTTGTGCTTTCAAAATTGCAATTTTTCGCTTGCGATATGACTACAAAAAAAGGAAGCAAATATTTTTTTAAACTATCAAAATGAACTATGAATTAATGAAATGGAACTAGAGCAGAAATTAAAGCATTAAACAAGTGTAATACTTATTCAACAGTCGTGTTAAATGATATTTCATGTTTATTTACAAGTCATTTTTTATTTTGTTATATTTTTACTCGAAAATGAGTCAGAAAATCAACCGTCTATCCTGATTTTGTTTAATTCTTAAACACATTTTGAACAAAGTTTAAATGAAATTTTTTTTTAGTAAAAAAGGATAGTGTTAATAATTATTGTTACCATATTTGTTGGATCTGATTCAATAAGTTGTTCGTATAAATGTGTCGCGCTATCATACCTATAATGGGTAAATTATGAACTACAAAAAAAGAAATGGACAAGAATTTTGACGATATCATCAAACATATTAAAAACTCCGCTTAAAAAAGGCAAGTACAAGAGCTGTGTAGATGGGAAATAAATAATCCTAAGTGACAATATTCTTTTAAAATTTGATAATATCAAAGGAGCAACCTATTTGCTCACTGTCTATTTGTTTCGTTAAATAGAGAAATTAGTTTTTTACGTTTGCAAAAGCTTATCATTGAACTGTGAAAAGAAAGCTTATTACTATAAATGATATCAATTATTCCTTTAAAGTTTTTTCTTTACTAACTTTACTACGGCAATCATGATAAAAGAATCGTTACCTCAAACTATATCACTTATTCCTTCTTATAAATCTCAAATTTACTAACCTCCCCTCTATCAATTATCGATCAAATGTGTTGTTAGAATTGCTGAAAATTTAATAAGGTATGAAATGAACCGTTTTAAAGCTTCAAGACGCATTGCCTGAAGTTTCAGGACACGATTACTTCGTGGAAATTTTTCTTGTAATGCATGTATGCATCCCATTACAAGATCGGTTCGACCTAAATCTAATGCTGCTATGCAAACCTAAAATTAAAACACACCTTATTATATATCACTATGCCAAACTGAACCATATTTTCTTGCATTATACTTAAAATATGATTTTATTCAATCTTAATTGTTGTAAACTTTTCAAAACATCAACAAAAACTCAATCCTTCTGCAGATTTACTCATATTTCACAATTTATTCATTTAATATCTTTAATTCATTTGCAGCAACTACTCTATTAATTATCCCAATTAATTGTCCTATGTTTTTTTTCTGCAATTTTTTTTTCAGGAGGGTAAATTCTTTTTAAAGAAAAAATTAACCCCCCTATAAAGTTACACCATTTCTTATCAAAGCAATCCATAACATCAATTAGTCAAACTTTTAATTTATGTCTTTCTCAATAAAAACTTTCTAAAGTCAAAAATCATGATTTCTTTAAACGAAAATTTCCATCATTACATTACCCATAAAACAGTATAGTCCATCCTTACACAGAATTCTTCTCATGTAAGTATGAAATGTAGCTTTAATACCATTATGATACAACAAAGTACCAATATAATAACTAACCCTAATTATAACCAATTAAAAATTCAATTACAATTAATTAAAAATAGCAAATATTGCTACAAAATGGGTGTTTAGACTGTTTTCCGAAAATATAATTAAAATTAAGCAATTAAAAGAAATATTATACGAATGATAAAATTAATTTTACCTGTTCATAAACAAGCCACAATTCATCACCCAATGAACGAGGATGACGACTTAATACGTGCTCCCATAATTCTGCCGTTTCCACTGATCTACGAGCATGCTCTTCACGCCATTTACGTAACACATTTTTTGCTTCTAAAAAACAATTAATTTCTAGGCTACAAAAATGAAAAGCAAATATTACTTCTTATTTAAATTTTAATTTTACTACAAATCAAATTCTTTCCGACTGAAATTCATTCCATGATATCAAATGAACGTACCATCAAATGAAGCACAAGTCCAGTCAGTCATCGTTGAAAATATGGATTCAAAAAGACTTATTTTTTCCAATAACAAATAAATTGAAATGCAATGTCTATTATAATCTGGAAGTCATGTTCTTTTCATTCACTGCAAAATTGCATTTGTATAAGATAGTAACAAATTATGGGGAACTAATATCATCAAATTTCATGCGATTTCTCAACTTTCCCTTTTTCTGATTTATATTCTATGCAGTCAACAAACCCGTTTCAATGCAATCGTAAATTTTCAGTTAAAATTATCAGTTCGAACTTGAACAATTGGACAGAATGTTGCCTCTCATTGCAAAATAAATCTTCCGAATCTTTTTCCAACTAGTTTCATTCGATAAAATACCAGAAAGAAGTCATAACTAAATTTCAAAGAATAAGTTGAATATATTTTCAAAAAAGAAACATTTTAAATCATTTTAATAGTTGAGTTTCCCAAATCTCTCAAAATCAAAAATGTCGAACAACTATTTACTTATGGTATGCTATTTGTATTCTCCAAACACTAAATATCAACTAATATATGACTGCTTATTCAATTTTTTTTTTTTGAAAATATCCAATAACTGTATATCAACCGTTCCAAATACAAAAACATTCCTATAAACAATAAATTTCATTTGTAGACAACAATGTATTTAAAATATACGACCTGATTTCTAGACCATTAAGAAAAAATTATAAATCTTGAACAATATAACAAATTGTTGAAATATTTGGCACAATTGTTAAGACAGGAATCTTGAACAATATAGCACACTGTTAACATATCAATAAATAAACTGAAACGAAACCAGCGAATTTTTTTTACTAGGCCGGAAAAGCAAAAATAAAATTCCAAAGAAGTGATGAGGTATGTTGTTCATAGTTAAAAATTTAATAAAGAGCAACCAAATTTAAAATTTTTAAATTGGTTATTCTTTGTAACGACAAACCAAAAATTAATAACTTATAGAACATTTTACGGCACCGAGTTAAAGTTGACATATCAACTGTTAAGACAGGAGAAAACTGAGAAAATTTTAGAAACATGCATAGACGTAAGGTAAGAAATTTAAATAGGATGGCATGAATCAATTAAACACAAATACAAAACATCGAAGAAATTATATGGAAATAAATTTAATTTTGAATTAAATAAAAAGAATATAACAAAGCATAAAAATAGAACTTTTTAAAACATAAAAGTAAAATAACCAACAAGATACAGTACTTAAAGAACAAACAAAGGAAATGAACTAGGCTTGGACTTATTCTGGATCAATTCAAAACATATTCAATCCATTGATGGATATCTCCATTCCGTTTGAGGAACCGATGTTTCTTTGATACATAGCGGAGATACCCACCGTAAGACATAATGCGGTCCACCAGCTTTATCGTTTGTTCCTAAAAATGTTTTGTGCGTATAAAGTAAAATTAACAACATAAGTTAGATTAATAGTTGAAAAGCCTCACTAATAATAAATGGATAAAGAATTAAAAGATAATGTTTCCTTGAATATAAAAACTGAAAGATTAAGACAAAAAGAGAGAAAGCCAACGCTTTCTTGAAAAAGCAAACAGCAAAATATGGGCGATGAAAAGCTAACCGCTCATCCGTGCTCCACCGAAAGGTTGCTGCCCAACTACAGAACCAGTTGATTTATCATTTAGATACATATTTCCGACAGCATGTCGAAGTATGTCACGAGATTTGTATAGAAATTCTCTGGAACAATTCGAAATTAGAAAGAAAATGCCAACTGTGATATTAAATTTTACAAAATTAATTACGCCATGTCACAATTTTTACAGATAATGACATAACCATTATCATTCACTTTTATTAACTGAACTCAATCCACATTCTTTAAACTACAGTAAAATAAGTGGAATAGATTGAAAGAAGGAATCAAATTGAATATTATCTTCTGATCGCACTATAATAGACTAGTTTTGACCACTGTGAGATGCACATCAATCTACCACAACGTTAATAAACTTCAAAGTATTCTCTAAAAAGTCAAAAACATTAAGGTCTCATAGAGATCAATTACCTATCCTCCGAAAATACAGCTCCAGTAAGACCAAATACTGTTGAATCTTTTAATTTGCTTACAATCTCCAATGCTTCATTGTCTTTATACACATATGCTGTTAATACAGGTCCAAAAATTTCCTAAAGTTATGTTTTGATGCTTTTAAATGCAAAAATTTTACTATAAGAAAAAAAGTATAATGAAATGAGTTCTAAAATAAAGGCGTATAATATGCAAAAATAAAGAAAATCTGAATGAAGATTAAAATTATAAGCCATTAAGTTTCACAAGGAACCAAAATAACTAGATTAGTAGAAGCTATAAACATGGAATTGCATGATGGATTTTCAATCTCTGATCAATCAGACTAAAGAATAGAAAATCATCTAATCAATAACAAATTTCTAAAATAATAAATCACTATAGCGTATAGAGTTAATCTTAGATATACCTCTCTCAGTAATTTGGAGTCCCACTTATCAACTTGCACAAGAGTTGGTTGAATGAAATATCCCTTAGTGTCGTCATAAGTTCCACCAAAAATGATCTTAGCTCCATCCGCACCTGTTTTAGCATAATCAATATATGATCTGATTGATTTGAAAGCTTTTGCATCAATAACTGCTGTCATAAAGATCGAACCATCACGTACCTACAACAAAGTTGACCAATAAATTATTCCAGTTTCTGCCAGGTTCGTCCTTAACATCCCTATCTGTTATAGTTGTACACAAAGAAATTACTATCTTCTAAAGAAAAGCCCTAAGAAAGAATGAAAAAAGTTTCAAAGGTTGTTATATTTTTATAAGCGCCAAAATTTCAAAACTTAGACTCTTTTTTTTTAAAAACAGAAAGTAAGTTATGCAATAAACCAAACACTCACATCGCCAACTTTGAGCTGTTTTTGTATAGCATCAAGTTTTGATTGCAAAGCAGGCCATAAACTTTCAGGTACATAAATTCGTGAACAAGCACTACACTTTTGTCCTTGATATTCATATGCAGAACGAATTGTACATGGTGCCACAGTGTCCAAATCAGCTGATGGATGAATGAAATGGAAATTCTTACCGCCACACTCTATAAATATCATTTCTTTTATTTCCCAGTAAGTGTTGATCCAAAATTTTCTACAAAATTGGACAATATTCACTATAAACACTTATCATTCTTCATATATTTCTGCTGGAAATGGTGGAAAGTTTTAACAATAGTGCTATGCTACTTCTAGATTTGATAACTTATTGCTTATTTTAAATTCCAACATAAACAAGAAAACCTCCAATCAGTCTTGGAAATGAAATGTAAGTATCCAGATTTTCGGCAACTCTCTTCCATAAATGCTTGAATGTTGGCATTGATCCGGTGAAATTGATAGCAGAAAGATGGGGAGATGAAGTGATAGCATTACCAAAAACAGGACCATCAGATGGTAGGAATGAAATAACTCCAGCCGGAAGACCTGCAAATACAAAACTTCACAAATATATCCCTTGAATAAACTCAGAGCACTAAACTATTCCAAAATATTTAAACTTTATAATGCTAGTTATAAAGGAGGATCAGTAATTGATAATGCTTACCAGCTTCCTCTAAAGCTTCGTAAATAAAATAATTACTTAACACAGCAGTACAAGATGGTTTCCATAAGACAGCATTACCCTAAAATAATCTATTGTAAATATGATTAGATTAGCAATAAGTCTGTAATTATAATTAATAAACACATTTTATATGTTTGGATTCAACATTATGTACAACAACAGTTTACCATCATAGCTGGTGCAGTTGCTAAATTGCCACCAATTGCTGTGAAATTAAATGGCGCAATAGCAGCAATAAATCCTTCGAGACTCCTCAAAATAAATCTTGCATAAACAACCAAATATAAAATTTCATCAATCTTAACAAATTTTTGAAATAGAAATAAAAAATTAAAACAATTTTAATATTAGTAAAATAAAAAACTTAAAATGAATTCACATATTGTGATTTTATTTGCACAAATAGATGATTAATTTTTAGACTGTAATGTAATTTTAGCTTCAAAACTATTTAATGTTTAATTTTTAACTTTAATATGATAATGTAAGTTGATTACCTAAAAGTCATTGTATTAGTGACATTTTTTAACGAAATCGGTTGATATTTTTCCAGCTCCAAGGCAAATTTGGCATTAAATCTGAAGAAATCAACCAGCTCACAGGCTGAATCAATTTCTGCTTGTACAATATTTTTTCCCTGTCCAAGCATTGTAGCAGCATTGAGCTTCATACGATATTTTCCAGCACATAAATCAGCTGCATGCAAGAAAACATCTGCTCGTTCTCTGTAAAATAAATTAATTAGGAAAAGCTTTGAAAAAAAAACAGATGAATTAAAAATTAAAAAAAAAAAATTAATAAAATGATTAAAGAACTTATATACTATGTGCTATATTGCTATCCAGGAACCCTACAAACAGTCATTATATAGAAAGCTACAAAATGTAAAAGAATTTTGTTACTGTTACACATCATCACTAACAAAACTCAGTGAAAATTAATTATCTTTAAATTTGTAAATTAAAAAAAAAAAATATGGAAAAAAAAGAAGAAAAGAAGTAAATGAGAGAAGAAACGGGAATCAATCAAGAAACATTAAAATAGTTGCTAGGGAATCGATTATTACAAATGATAAAGGTAGCATAAACTAGAATAAAATGATGCAAGATTGTTATTCAGTTTACTTCAATCATACAATAAAATTATATTACTCTTAAGCATTATTTTATTTTTAAAAGAATAAAAATAGAACTTTAATGATTTTCGTTCCCATTTTTGTTTGGCATTTAGTCCTACTTCAATTGCTTCCTTAATTTGTTCCATAGTAGCATGTGCAAATCGTGCAATAACTTTCTGATGATCTGAAGGCTGAAAACATTTTCATATTTCAGTTGTAATTTAAAAAGTATCAAAGTTTAACAAACTTAAAATTACGACTAATACAACTCAGTGTACTTTGATGTAAAATATTTTGTGAAGCGATTTTGGAAGGAAAGCAGAAGATGTATGTCAGATGTAACTTTGCATTATCCCTCCGAAAGTAAATAGATCGTTCTACGAAATTTATCAATTTCTTAAGCTAACACTAATTCGAATCTTTTGAACCCCATCCGTTAACATTCAGGATGATCCAAAAGCCATTAAATATTAAATGATTAATGATAAATTTGAAGCAAAATTTGATATTTTTTAAAAAATATAATTTGCTGAAAAAATATATAGCTTACTCTTACCATAACTTGTTTCTTATCAAGATTTTTCATAATTTTCTCATTCCCAATCACCAATGGGACATTTGTAGTTGTACTAGCTATCTCTGACATTGCTTTTTCAAGAGCCATCCTTTCTGTACTACCCTTCTGATATGTAAGTACCGGTTCATTTTGTGAATTTTTCATAAATTTTTCTGATGTTAAACCTGACCCACTGAAAAGCAAATATTATAAATACATTATAATAAAAAAAATAAAAATAAAGAAAAGCAAATATTATATTATAAATTCCAAAATTACAGTAATTATAAGCTAATAAAATCTGAGTGTAAAGCAAGCAAAAAAAAAAAAAAAACAGTTGCTTCTTTATATAAATTTTTCGACAGTTAATAAAATTAATTTTTAAACCGCTCAAACTATTAGTTTACACTCAATTCAATTTAACAAAGGTTAAATTATTATTCGACAAGGAAAAGAACACAAACGCTCCTATGTTTAAATTACCATATATATTTATAGGAATATGCTTTAATATTCATATTTTAACTTATAATAATGAATGAATTCTTGCAACAGTTGTTGAACAATCAAAACAGAGCTAATTAATTAATCGATAAATAAATATAAAGTACCCGAATGTAGAAACTTGACGAAATAGCCAAGTCCATTGACTCGCTGTAAATGAGCCAAAATTAGAACGAAGCATCATTTGTATAGAATACTGAAAATGAATAAATAGTAAACACAAAATTGTGTAGCAAGATTACAACAAAAGAACAAAAAAAAAGTTAATAAATAAAAGTAGAAAAGGATGACACAAAGACCAAAGATCGAAATCGAACTAACATTTTCATTGAGCGATAAATTTCGCTTTTTGCCCAATCAATATTGGCATTAAATTTATGCCAACCTTAGCTGCTAATTTTCATTAACGCATACCTCATTCCTGAAATGTTTGATAAGTGTTTCAATGGGAATTGAAATTGATTAGCTCACTATTATTTATTCGTGTTTATTATCATTGTCATTATTGTTATCACTATTATCCCTAAATAATAACAGCAAAAAAGCTAGTAATTATTTTCAATAATAGCATATTACTTGTTTCAATTAAGGTTTTCCAAATACTATTTGTCAATTAAACACAAAATTCATCTCAGTTAAAATTTAAAAAAAATCATTCTTCAGAACCTTTAATTATTTCTAATTAGCTAATAGCAAAAAGTCTAATAATTACTTCTAACTAACAATAAAAAAGAAAGCAATATTTGAGTAATGGAATTAAATAGCACGGAATTAAATAATTATTTCTAATCAATAACAGCATAGAAGCTAATAGTTTAATATCATCATAGCCAACATATTATTTGATATCTTATCAATGCTCCCTTATGACTCATCCTTTCACTTCCTAAAATACCAAAAAATAAATTCACAATCCCTTTTTCTTCCTTCCCTATTTTCAAGTAATATTTATATTTCTTGCAACCATCCCATTATGCAAATTTGTCTCAGTCAAAGCATTCTTGAAGATTCGTCTCTTTTGTTTTGTTTTGTAAAAATATTCTTGAAATTTTGAAGAATGAATAAATTAAAATAAAATATTGTCGCTCATAATAATAATACTTATTTTAAAGTTAAAATATAATATGATTAATAATGTTATACGAATTGAATTTGCATAATAAATAATTGGTGTGTAAGAAAGAGAAACCAAATGTTAGCAAACAATAATGAAATAATTTCCAACTTTTTTTTTTCTTTTTGGAGTACTTATTATGTCTCATAACAATTTATTTGTTAATCAAAAATATTGAGGTATTAATTAGAGCTAATTAAAGTGTACACTTATCCAATTATTTTCATTTTTTTTTTTTTTTTTGACTTTTTTTTCTAATAATGATTTAAAGAAAAAAAAAAGTTGCTAAAGTTTAAATGAAAAGAAAAAAGGAAACAATTATTTATTTTGTTTTTCATTTTTTTGCTTATTTTGAATAAGATTATTAAATTTTGATTTTTTTTTTTGTTCTGTTTTTTGTTTTTTTGACCATTCAATAGCCCAATTTGCATTAATTGAATTTAATTAAAATATCTTTTCGCATAAATACTGAAGCATTTATTACAAAATGATAACAAAACTTTGCATAAATGTATTTGAAATTTGAAATGGAAGAAAAGAAAGGAAAGATGAAGAATAATTTTAAATAATATTCTCAGAATCGGTTGTTGCAGAATCGTTAATAGTTTGAGCTAAAATACGATACTCTACGCCAGCTAGCCATTTTGAACGTATTACTTCCTCAATTGTTAGCCTTTTTTGTGGTATCGGATGAAGAATATCAAATATTAATCGTTTTGCATCAATGCTTATTTCTGTTGTACGTCGATATGCTATTCTAAAATAATATTTTAATTAAAAAAGAAAAAGATATTTAAAATAGACGAAAAAAAAAAATGATTAAATTAAAATTAAGGAAAAAACACTACTAAAAATAAGCTTTTTTTTGAAAAAAAAAAGAAAAATAAAAAAAGAAAAGGATGTTTACAAATATTAGTGCAAAAAATAAATGAAGTAAAAATAACAATTTTTTCTTAATCTCATTACTAATATATTTAGTAAAGTTTAGGAAACATAAAACGAAAACGGAAGTAATAAATGCTTTAAAGCACTCAAAAAAGGGAAGAATGCTTAGCTTATAAATTTATAATATTTTTAAACAATCGTTATAATTTAATATATGTTATCAATCATTGCAACTGATAATTATTTTCAGCTTTTAATAACATAACAATAATAGCAAAATACTAAGATATTATAGAAATAAAAGAAAATATACTGGCTAAAAAATGTTATTATGAGATATAAAAAATACAAAATTATAAGCATAATTAAAAATGCAAAGAAAAAGCTTATTAAAAATATTTAACAAAGATTTTTGAAACTAATTTTATCCGAAAAAGAATAAAATTAAAATAATAATCTAAATTTGTAATCATAATATGGTTTGACTTTAGCACAATACAAATAAAGAAATGGCATGATTTAAGTTATAATTTCAATTCATAAATTAAAGTTTGATTCAAAGTCAAAGCTTAAAATTTTCAAAATAAAAATGTTACGTTTTATGACCTGTGCTGCAATTGTCTTTCTAACATTTTTTGCACATTCTTGTCATCATATGGCATCATTCCCGTTGTCATCACATACAGGACAATTCCTGCACTCCACATATCCGAGAGATACCCGTCATATGGTTGTGCTCTGCGACAATTTTCAAACTTTTTATTATCCAACAATTCATTGTCACATGTTACTTAGAATGCTTAGCTATTGCAACAAAGTGATAATTTTGTTTAAACTTTAAGCATCGTTAAGTTGGCGCATAGTGCCTTTCCATCCATTTCAAATTATTCAGAGCTTTCCTGCATCATCACAAAGATTTCTCAAATAATATAATATTAGCTTTAAAAGTAATAACTATACTAGCATATGTCAAAACTTTTTTAAACTATTATTTTCAAAAATATGTGTCTAAAAGTGCTACTGGCTACTGTTTCAAAAGTATTTCAAAAGTGTAAAAGTTTCAAAAGTATTTCAAAAGTGTAAAAGTTTCAAAAGTATTTCAAAAGTGTAAAAGTTTCAAAAGTACATGTCCTAAAGTACAGCTAGGCTACTGTTTTCAATAAATCTCAAATATATACCTCAAAATACAGCTAAGCTATATTATTTCATTTTAAAAAGTAGCTCGAATAAATGCTAGCATATTATTTAAAAAACATAAGATTCAAAAAATCTATTCTATTATTCAATAAATATGGCTGGGACATATCCGTTTTAAAAAACGGAAATAAATGATTTAATTAATTAATTTATGTGACCTTTTATTTATAAATTAATCAAACCTAATAATTTCTGGTGCTAAATATGCACGAGAACCACAAAATGTTTTGGATTTTTCTCCAATTTTCAATAATCTTGCAAAGCCAAAATCGGTAATTTTAACATTTTCGCATGAATCGAGCAATATATTTTCACATTTAATATCACGATGTACAACTTCCATTGATTTTAAATACTAATGGAAAAAAACTTTTTTTCTTTCCCTTTTAATAATTTTTAAATGTTGAAAATTTAAACGAAACATTTTCACTTCAGTTTTAACACTTAATTTTATGATATTAATTAATTAAATCAAGTTTAATTAAAATTACGACAAGGACTTGCATACCTTCATGGCTTCAATGAGTTGCCGAAAATGTATTTTTCCTTCCTTCTCATCAACTTTACTTTCACGTCTTATTTTTTGCAATAAATCACCTCTACTTGTAAAATCTTGTATAATACAAATAAATGGATTTTTCTCAATTACCTGAAAATAAGACACAAAGAAATGAATTAAATTCAAAAAGCTATTGAAGAAAGAAGCGGAAATTTGTTCCATCTTAAAGATTTAAGATAAATTCAGTATGATAGTATAAATAGAATAAAGCATTTTATAATTTGTGTAGAAAATAAAAATGACAAATAAATTTTTTTCATTGTTTTTTAGGAATCTAAGAAATTACTTCATAAACACTAATAATATTGTCATGTTTTAACTTTCGAACAAGTTCAATCTCACGTGGTAAGCATTTCTTCGTGTATTTTAAATCTTTCCTAAAAAAGAATTTTGATTTATCATTGATTTTTTATGAGGAAAAATTTAAAAAAGAGTAACGTAAGGGTATTTGTTGAATCTTTGAAAAGATCCAAATGATGATATTTATTTGGAATAGTTTCATAAATGATTAGAAAGTTGTAAAATGAAAATGGAATTATGAATTTAAGGCAAATTGAGAGAGTTATTAGCATATCAGTGAAAATATTTGGTTGATGATAAATTAAAATCATAAATAGCTGATTACTGATAGATAAATTAGTGATATAAATTAATGATAAATTGTTGGGTAACACATTTTGGCTATAACCTTGTATCAATTATTTTTATAGCAACCATTTTGGCTAGCATATTGCACCAACCTTTCTTTACAATTGAAAATGTTCCTTTGCCTTAAAAGAAATGACTGAAAGAATTGAAATGAAATGAAATTAATTTAATTTAATTTAATTTAAAAAAGGATCAAAAAATGTACGAATTTATTCAGAATAAGTTAGAAATAAGTAACTGAAATAAAATTGTAGGGAAAATTTCAGCAAATTTTATGATAGTAATAAATAAGTAATACATTTGTTGTTGTTATTTTCTTAATTTAACAAATTGACTACATTACAGATTGAAAGTGATAAGATAAATGATAAAATTTGATTAGTGATTAACTTGTTATAAGTGAAATTAAAATTATTTCTTCATACATTGTCTTATCTTTATTTATTTTTTTCTAGAATGATTTTGTCCAAATTTAGAAATGTAAAAGAAAAAGATGTGAAAGTTCAAAGGTTAAAATGACAAAGAATGAAAAGTATTACCAAGATTTTCATAAAAAATAACTCCACGTATTTTCATTTCGTTCAACATTTCGGGCGTTAAACTTTCAACAATCTTATCGTCTATATTACCTCTACTTTTATTATAATCTATATCTTTTGTATGTTTGTTTCGCTCCAATAATTTATCCTTTTCATTCATTTTCACTTTCTCAGCTTTCTCATCCTTTTTTATTCTTTCAGTTATATCATTTTTCTTTTCTTTGCCATCAACACCATGTATTCCATCATTTCCTTTATTCTTTTCCTCTTGTTCATTTTCTTCATCTTTTCTTGTTTTATTATTCTTTCTATCTTTTATTCCTACTCTACTTTCGTAATCCTTCTTCATTCTTCCACTTTTCTCCTCTTTCTTTAATTTTCCATCATTTTCATTCCGTTTCAAACTTCGTTCTCCCTTATCTTGTCTGATTTTCTCTCTTGTTTCATTCTCCTCAACAATATTTTTTCCATCACATCTCTTTATCTTCCTCTCCTTGTGATCTTTTTTTATCGCTTCTTTGTTGTCTCCTTTTACTGAGGTCTCTCTTTCGCTCTCTTCGTCTTTCGCCATTATTGTGAATGAGTGAGTATCTGTAATAAATTTTATTATAACAGGATTCCGGAACACGATCCGATTCAAAAATCGGATTCTCTCGATACTTTACAATTTGGAAAACAGCAAACTGATAGATACAATATTCGACCATAAATTGTCTCAAAATAGAAAATATATTATTTAGCTTTAAATCAGCAAGGATTTAATTTCAAATTTCAATTTTCATTAATTTTCTTTTGTACTATTGTACTACTCATCTATTCACTGAAATTCTAATTTTTATTAAATTTTATTCGGTGCATTTTTTAAATATTTTTATTTAATGAATTTTATAAAATTATCATCTGTCTTTTTTTTATTTCGTTAATTCTTGATTTTTCATACAATGCTATAATGGAATGACTAAATTAAAGTACCGTAGAAATTATTCAGCAATAAATGAAAAGTGTAGAGCAAAACGATTGAAATAAATAAAAATGAAATGATAATTACATTTATATACGAAAAATTTTACATGAAAAAATGTAAAATAAATTTTGCATATTTAACAAATGCTTTAATTTTTAAATACAACTCAATTACAAAAAAATGAAAAGAAAAAAAAGTGTAAATGAATTATTTTGACAAATGAAAAAATTCGTTTTAATACTGTATGAATTATCAATAATTAAATTTCAAATCTTTTAAAACAGTTCAAATGATTTAATGGTCTTAACAAATTTAGCCAATGTAATGAGGCAAATCATTTCTTTCCTTATAAATGTTTCAAAATATTGGTTTTAAATTAGCGGACATTTAATTCCTATTTTAAAATTTTAGATTTCATTAATTTTATTTATACTATTTACATTACACATTAGGGAATTAAAAAGTGAATATGACATTAAAATTATTAAAACATGTTAACTGTCAAGAATAAATTAAAGGAAAATAATTTTTTCTTTCTCTCTCTCTCTCTCTCTCTCTCTCTCTTAAAGGCTTCATTAACGATTAAAATTTTAACTAGCGAATTTTGCTTATTTATTTATTTTTTCCTAAATTCTTGTAATCAAAGAAAAAAGTGTTAGAAGTATTGTAAAATTGCAAATTAGATGGTAATTAATTAAAAGAACCGCTTACCACTAATGTAATGACAAATTAATTAACCAAGAATAAATCTAATTAATATTAAAAAATAAAATTCATGTTACAAAATTATTTAAAGGAGTTTTTTTATAGAAAAAGAATTTATGTATGTCGTAAAATTATTTAAAAATCTTTCAATAGTTTTCGAATTTTTTGAATTTGAAAAGAAAATTGATTCAATGTAAGAAACATTAGTTTCCTTCTTCACTTGCTTAGCGCTTTCTTCCGTAACTTTGAGTTTAAAAAATAATGAAGGAAGTTAAATTTTAGGCAAAAACAGCCAAAAAGAAGAAAAAAAGTAAACAAATAAGAAAGTTTATTGATGCCAATTTTATGCTTAAATTTTTGATACTAATATCAATCAATTAATATTTGTCTCAGAGAATAAATTATAGCAAAAGATCATTTAAATTTTTTAATCGATGAATTGTGCTAATTATGCTAAAAAATATGATAAAAGCATTCATCGTTATAACAATGATTATTCAATTATAATTAAGTTTTGATATTTAATATAAAATATCAAATTGCTGTATTTAATTTGTGATAACTAAAAATTAGCTAAAATTACGATTTTTTATCGAAAAAATATAAATGAATAATGAATGATAAAAAGAAGTGAAATGAAAAAAAACGGAATATCTAAATATAATGAAAAATTTATGGACAAATTTTAATTTTTAATTTGATACTGAATATAATTGTTAAATAATCCATCACATTGTAAATATTTCAAATTAAAAAATTTGCATTTTAGACAAAATTTAAATTAGTATTTCATTTTGAATAAAACTGTCATTTAGCTAATTTGTGATCGAATTGAGCAGTTTGTTGCATTATTTTTATCAATTTAACAATGATACCATTACTCTAACTTACAAAAATGACTAAAATAAGTATTGAAAAAGAGAAAAAAGATAAAAAAAAAAGTTTTCTTAATATATTCATATATATATATATATATATTATGTAAAATTTAAAAAAAATTCCTAACATTTAACAAAATTTCTCAGTCAAAAAAAAATGAAAAATTGTTTCTATTTATCATTTTGACAAATTTCTCCAAAATATTTTAAACAAAATTTATTGTCAAACTCAAAGCTCTCAAAAATTTCAGCACAATTTCAATTAAAATCAATAACAAACAAATTAAAATCATTGCAAAAATGTCAACAGAAATAAAAATTCCTATAAAAAGTCAAATTCAAGCTAAAATTTCTGGTGAGAAATTTAAATTAGCTAAAGTTATAAGATCAAAAAAAGTTTTTTTTTTCTTTTTAGTACCATAAATTTTATAGCAATGAAAGAAAGTATTTTAAAAGAAGAATGGTTTTCTCATTTTTCTCTTCCGTTGTTTTCTTTTTGAGAAAATTTAAGAAAAGAAATTTTTGATTCGCAATTTTAATTTTCTTTTTCCTTTGCTTTTTTTTTGTAACCAAAAAAAAAAAAAAAAATTAGTAATAACTTTTAAAAAAACTAATAAAAAAGAGAAGAATACATTTTAATGCGCCGATGAATCATTAATATAACTGATATATCAAAGAAATAAACATCGGAAAAATTATTTTTTAAAATTAAAAAAAAAAAAAAGAAAACAATTTTGTTATACTTCGTATAAAGAATAAAAAATAATTACTATTCGTTTTTTATTCACTTTTTTACTTTTTTAACAATTTTTTTTTTTAAATTTATTTATTATTAAAAAAAAATTTATCTAAAATTTGAATTAATTTTATTTCATTTCGAATATTAGTAAAATAAATGAAAGGATTTATCGAAAAAAAATTTATGTTATTTAGACAATAAAAAAACAACACGAAAAGAAGTTATTGAAATGTTAAAAATTGGCGAAATACTTCGCGAAAGGTATATAATCGAGAAAAAATTGGGTCGCAGTAATTACAATCAAATTTATCGGTATATGCTTTTAAAATATATTTTCATATTAATTTATCTTATCAATTAAAAAAAATTGTTTTTGTTTGATTAATAATTGATTATTCAAGTATTATCTAAGAATTATTGATAAATCAGTGATATTTATAATAATTTGTTGTGCTTTTATGTTTTAGTGTAAAATCATTTTTTCTTTTTTTTTTTTTTTTTTTTTTTGGAGGATTTTAATTTTTGGAATTTGGTCATATTCTTTACCATATGATAAATTTTGTTTTAAAATTAATTTTAAATTAAATTTATTGCTCTATTTTCTTGTTTATTTAACGTTTTTTTTTTTTTTTTTTTGACAGATTAGTTAATATTGCATTTATTATTGTTCAAGAAAAGAAAAAAAACAACAATGATAATTAATCAAATAATTAATCATAATTAAATTATATTCACGAAAGATTATGGTAATTTAAATTCATTCCAGTGCCTATGATAATGTTAAATCACGACCTGTGGCAGTAAAAATTGCAACACCTAAATTGGATCCAAGACGAATGAAAATTGAACAAATGGTTTTAACTTTATTACGCGGAAAGGTACAAAGATTTAATTTATAATAATTTGAATTAATCAATAATTTTTTTTTTTGAATTAATGAAATCTAATGTTTAGTTTATTGAATCTTTTATCAAATCTGTAATTCATTTCAAAAAAAATTTATTGCTTACAAAAATTACTTTCTTAATAATCATTTTGCATGTTTGTATTTATATTTCAAAATTAGAAAAAAAAAATCAAGAAATTTGTTTTTTTTTTCTTGCCTTGTATATTACCTACATTTTATTGCATAATTATGTTTTTATGAATTTTCAAACAGAAAATATTAAAAATTCTTTTTGGCAATATTATGTTTATATCATAAATTTGCTAAATGTTTAGAATCATTTCGTGACATTAATTAGTATGGGACAAATTCATGATGTGCCATATCTTGTTATGGACCTTGTTGGCCGTAACTTGGCTGATATACGTGGACTATATCCACCTAAACAATTTCAACCAATTACTGTTTATCGAATATCCATGCAAGTAAGAAGTAACTTCTTTTTTTTTTTTTTTTTTTTTTTAATAATATTTTGATGGATATTGTTTTGTAGGTTATAAGTGCATTACGCGACATGCATATTGCTTTTGCAGGTTATAAGTGCATTACGTGACATGCATACTGCAGGTTTTTTGCATCGTAACATTAAACCATCAAATATTTGCATTGGTAGAGGTGCACAAAAACGAGTAATTTATCTTCTTGATCATGGTAAATTCAATTTTTTAATTTTTTAAATTTTAATTTTTTTCATTTTTTTTTTTTTTTTTTTTTTTTTTTTTTGCAATTTTGGTTAATTAATATTAAAGATATGAAAATACAAAATAATTTTGAATAAATTATAATAAAAGCATAATAATATTAGTAAAGGTATGGCACGAATGTTTACCGAAATAGACGGTAGAATTCGGAAGCCACGTGATCATGCAGGTTTTCGGGGTACGCTGCGTTACGTATCATTAACAGTGCATTCACGTGCTGAAAGAACTCCTCGTGATGATCTAATTGCATGGTTTTATTCAATGGTATTTGTGCATTAATATTAATTTTTTTTACGAATATTAAAATTTAGATTTATTAAAATTTTACATTTTCACCTATTTTCCATCTTTTTAAATTCACATTTAATTTTTGATGTCTCTGATATTTTCATAGCTATATTTTTAATTTCTCTATACAATCATTATTCTATATTCTTTATATAATCTTTCATGATTATTAAATTAAGAAAAAAAATCAATTTAATAGTTGCAAATTAAACTAAGGAAAGAGAGAGGGAATAATTAAATTGAATTGAATAAAATGTAAGATAAAAAAAGGGAAATTGAAATAAAATAGGCAAATAAATGAAAAAATTAACTGATTAATTAAAGATCAGATAAGCTATTTAAATTTTAAAACTAAAATTACTCAAAGACTTAATTGACAGATTGAATTAATCAATGGAAAGTTACCATGGAGCAATTTGATTGCAGCAAAAGATATCGAAGAAGCAAAAAGGAATGAAACATTCGAAAATTTATGCAAAGATCAACCAAATATATCATTGGAATTTGCTAAAGTTAAAAATTAATGATTGTTAAATGAAAATGAAAGAGCAAAAAGACCAAAATATATTTTACTTTTGTCATTTTTTTGGAAAGTTTTCATAATTTTGAAAACCAAACAAAATTTTATAAATTATGTGATATTTTATTAAACAAAAAAAAAAAAGATTTCAAAAGCATTCATTAAATTATTAAAAGTTTTATAAAACAAAATCGATATTTATTTATAAAAACAAAATCATTTTTGTTTTTTAAAAATAAATCAAACAAAATATTTCAATTTTTGCAAATAATTTCATTTCTGCTAGAATTTGAAACGTTTGAAATACGCAGCAGATTTTTTAATTTTTAAATCAAGACATATTGCTAATTTTTAATAATAATTTTTAGTATATATTATCATTAGATACTACTATTATACCAAATTATCAAGAATTAATTGCAATATTTAAAATGGTTAAGTTAAAAGATGATTTGCCATTCGAATGGGAAATGCATAAATCGTTTGTTTTTTAATTTGAATTGTTGTAATTGCATTTCAAATTTTAAAACTGATAGAAATAGTTCATTAAAATTTTTAAAAAAAAACTTAAAAGACTACAAAACTTAGAAAAGTTAGAAATATTACTTTTTCATTTAATACTATTTGCTTATAATATTTGTTAATGTAAATATAAGTTTCTACCAGTATTCCCTCTCACTTTACTTAATAAACTTTTCCATTAAATTGCATATATTTCCTTCAAAGTATTAGAAATTTTTACTGAAAAATATAAGCAATTATTCCTATTGCAAAAACGAAAAGAAAGAAATACCTTAAATTATTATTGAAAAAATTATATATTTCAATTTTTAAAAAAAATTTTTTTTGCTAAATTTTGATAGAAATATTACTAATAAAAATGATTAAAAAATTTTTTGATGATAAATATAAATGCGTTTTTTTTCTTTTTTTAGAAATAAAATGAAGAAAATGATAAGAGAAAGCGCAAATGTCATCGATGAAAAAGTAAACTTTTTTCTTTTCTTTTTATTTTTAATTTAAATTTGTTGAAATTTTACAACTTTCGTCTAAAATCTTTGCATTAGTTGAATTTTCGATTTTTTTTAGCACAGAAAAAACTAAATTATAGTTTGATAATAAATTTAATTGCATTTAATTGTTGTCAAAACTTTAATGACTTTTAAAATTTTCTTGTTATTTATTTATTTTTTTGTTAAAACTTTTGAAATATTTATCAATTATTGATTAATTCAAAATAAAAAAAAATGTTTAAAAATTAATTATTAAATTTTTCATTGATTTAATTGTGCTTAGAATTTTTTTTTTTTGCTTATAATTGAGGAATATAATATGAGAAAACGGATAAACATATAAGCAATGACCGGATTAATTATTTGCCGGAATAAAACTTATTAATAATGTCATATGGAATATTTGTAGGCTTAGAAAGAATTATGTTAAGTTTATCTATAATTTACTTAATGATATTTTGAGCGGAAATCTTTGAGAGATTATCGGTTCACAATCGGTCCGTTAGTTTTACTTTTATTTATTGACTTAGCAGCAATCAATGTAAACTTAGCTGAGCAATGCAAATGTTACTTTTTATCAAAACAGTAAATAAATAGTTAAATTATTTAATTAATAATATTTAATTAATTTGTTTAATTAATGTAATTTTGCAGGTAACAATGGGACAGAAATTAACAAAAGTGAGAAAGTCTAAAAAAGAGCAAAAAGTGAAAGAAAAGTGACAAAAAAATTAAGAAAAAAACTTATTCATTGATAATATTAGCATATTTCTATTTTTTTTTTTCAAAAAATTTTGCTTATAAAAATTTGCATATTTATCATTTTTAAAATTGCTAACATTTTATAATAAAGCGAAAACTTCAAAAAATCTTGGGAAAATAGTATTATAGCAAAGTAATACTAAAAAAAAATCAAATCATTTTGTTAAAATTATCAAATTTTCAGTGCTCTTTAAGTTTAATTAAATAAAAAATTTTTACTTTAAATTGCTTAAATTTTCATAATTTCCACAAAATTCTAAAATACCATTCATTGCATCTTTTTTTCACCTTTGACCCTTAATTCAATGGAACAGATGAATAGCGTGCTATTGTGCGTGCACGCATGCATGCATGTATTTCAATTATAAATTATCCTAACATACAGTTTCTCTTCATGCATATCAAATAATATGTTAGATGGAATACATTGACAATTGAGCGATAAGATTTATAACCTTCTGAAGTGACCGATGTTCCGCCATTAATTAACGATTCTTGCAATTATCCAATTTTTTTCATTAAATCAAAAATTGGCGGGTCAAAGGTCATCTGGATACAAGAGGTATAAAAGTGCAATTGTTGCATAATTAGTGAAAAATGAAAAAAAAAAGTTGAAAAAACAAAAAAAAAAAACGAATAATGTGAACAAATTTGATATTTTCATTATCAAATTAACATTTTTCTCTTATTTTTCCCGCAAAACTAATTCATAAACGAATACTAACAAAAAAAAATAAAAAATAAAACTCAACGAATGGTACTCTAAAAGGTCAATTAGCATAATTTCTGTTCATATAGCACACAGTTTTGTTTCATTTCTTTATCATTGCTTACATTATTGCAATTACTTTCTCACTTATTATTATCTTTAAATTTATCAAATTTAAAAAATACCTCAATGAACTGAAATAATTTAAAAAATAGAAATTAAATTAAACAATTAATTTTTATTCTCTTACCTCTGATTTTTTTCTCTTTCTTTTTTCTACAATTATATTCAATTACTATTATTTCGTTATTAGTACCAAAAATGATAATAATTAAATTAAAAGTTTGCAGTTTAGCTAATTATATTATTTAATTTATTACATATGCAACTAAATGAAAGGTTAACTTTCTCATCACTTTATATCAAGGAAATTCATTTGTTTTTAAAAAAATTTTTTTTTTTGTTGATCAATGATAATATTATTTTATCAATAATAGTATTATCAAAATTATTACATTATTTATCAGAAGTAAATTACTGATAAAATAATAGTGAGTACCACCTAGTTTCTTTGTAAATGAGTACCATCTAGTTTCCTTGTAAATGAGTACCACCTAGTTTCTTTGTAAATGAGTACCATCTAGTTTCCTTGTAAATGAGTACCACCTAGTTTCTTTGTAAATGAGTACCATCTAGTTTCCTTGTAAATGAGTACCATCTAGTTTCCTTGTAAATGAGTACCATCTAGTTTCCTTGTAAATGAGTACCATCTAGTTTCCTTGTAAATGAGTACCATCTAGTTTCCTTGTAAATGAGTACCATCTAGTTTCCTTGTAAATGAGTACCATCTAGTTTCCTTGTAAATGAGTACCACCTAGTTTCTTTGTAAATGAGTACCATCTAGTTTTTTTTTTTTTTTTTTTTTTTTTTTTTTTTTTTTTTTTTTTTTTCTTTGTAAATGAGTACCACCTAGTTTCTTTGTAAATGAGTACCACCTAGTTTCTTTGTAAATGAGTACCATCTAGTTTCTTTGTAAATGAGTACCATCTAGTTTCCTTGTAAATGAGTACCATCTAGTTTCCTTGTAAATGAGTACCATCTAGTTTTCTTGTAAATGAGTACCATCTAGTTTTCCTTGTAAATGAGTACCATCTAGCTTTCTTGTAAATGAGTACCATCTAGCTTTCTTGTAAATGAGTACCATCTAGTTTTCTTGTAAATGAGTACCATCTAGCTTTCTTGTAAATGAGTACCATCTAGTTTTCTTGTAAATGAGTACCATCTAGTTTCCTTGTAAATGAGTACCATCTAGTTTCCTTGTAAATGAGTACCATCTAGTTTTCTTGTAAATGAGTACCATCTAGTTTTCTTGTAAATGAGTACCATCTGGTTTTGATGCTAACTCTTTTTCTTAAATGGGTATCATTCAATTTTATCGCTAATATCTTTTTATAATTAAATTTACTCTAATTCTGACAAGGTTTATACCGCTGTCACATAGATTAATCTTCGCATAAATATTCAATTTAATGTTACCAAAACTGAAGTTACTCGATTACATATTTCTTACTTTTCGATAATATCTTAAAAGTTCTCTTTGTTTCTTCCCTATTTTTTTATAATTTTATTGTAATTATGATACAATGTTTGTTCATCAACAAATGTATATCTAAAACACTTATTTTCTAATTTATATTATGTTCTTAAATTTTACTAGCCTTAACAAATTTTGAAAGTATTTAATGAAAAACAAAAAGTTTATTATTGAATTAAAAATTACTTATTCTTATCGTTTATTTCTACCGGTAATGTCCACTCCGAAATTGACCATTTAAAAGAAACTATGATTTAAAACTGATAACCATTTAATGCAATGATACATTTTATCTGTATGATATCACTAGTGAGTTTTAATAAAATTAAAATTTAATTCTAATTATACTATAACAATTATGATATGGTTATTTATAAAATTGCTGCATTTAAATACAAACATATTTCATTGAGTGACTATCAAACTAGCATTTTAAATAATATAAATCTTAGCTTGTTTAATTTTCAAATTTATCAATTTAATAATATTCAAAAATAAAAAAAAAGAAGCAAATACAATCCATTATTTATATTTTAAACTTTTCTATGATTGGTACAAATTTTACTCTTTTTTTAAAAAAAAGAAAAAAACAAATTTAATTTCCATTTTTGCAATCAATTTATTTTCCTGCACAAAAATTTGCTTATTTTCATTTCATTTTTCAATATTTCATTTCATAAAACTAGAAAAACTTTTTGTGACATATCTAAATTTTTAGAAAATTTGACAATCCTATTTTCATTTTATTTCTGTTAAATTTCTGTCTGTTTGTCAAAGCGATGAATAAATTGTCTGACAATCATTTCGTTTTCGTTCCCTTTTTTTCTCAACAAACACTTTTATGAAATTTAATTAAAATATTATAATATCCATATACATTTTTTTTTTTTACATTTGCATAATGAAATTAATGACAAAATAATTTTTAATGTGTCATTTATTTGTCGTCAATTGAAATTTTTTTAAAAAAAATGAAAGATGTGAGGGTAGAAAGGAAAAAAAAAATGAAATAGAAATGAATGTAAATAAAGTAAAATAAATGAAAATTAAAAAAGAATAAAATTTATAGGAAAAAAAAAATGATAAAATGAATTTTTTCTTGCACAGCGGTATAGTCTTTGATGTAAAAGAGAACAAAAAAAGAAAATTAACTGATAAGCAACCCAAGCTAATTATACTTTCATTCATTTCTTCAGTTTTTTTTTAATTTAAACACGTCCTCCCACTAATTTTATCTTATCTTATAATTCGATAAAATTTCAAATTATATTTTATAAACGATATATTTTGATAATAGTTACTTACTACCTTTTAATAATTTAGTTGCAAAAATTTCTGCCACTTAATTTCCACAGCGTTGTAAGTTTCATTTTGTAAAAGAACAAATTCTAATTTTGTTTTTCTTTTTCTCTTTTCTGCAATTTTTTTGCTTTTTGTTTTTTTTTTTTTTCTGAAAAAAATTTAAACAAACATTTTAATTGCAAATGTTTTATTTCTTAAATTATTTCAAATATTTACAATTCTGTCCATTTCACACATTTATTATTGCGAAAATATGCTAAAAGTGAATTTTAGCAATTATTCGGCAATATTAATTATAATTCAACCGTGAAATCCATCATGAAATTTCCGTTATTAATGTAAAAGCTATAAAATTCCGATAATTTTACTATTTCAATGCAAATGAAAAAAAATTTTTTTTTTTGATTTTGACCAGTGAATGACCAATGGTCAGTAATAATTGATAAAAGTATGTAAACATGAGCGTATTTTTTTCATTTATTTATCTATTTGTTACTATTTTATTTTAGTAAATTGATTTTTTGATATTTTTTAATAAAATCTTACTAAAATTATTGCTCAAATAAAATCACTTAAATGAATTATTTTTGCATCACTTATACAGTTATTGGACTGGAAAGTTGTAAACAGCAATGCAAATTGCTGTTTAAAAATTTTACTTTTTCCTTTTTCAAAAAAAAAAAGAAAAGGAGAAATCAACGCAGTTAAGTTTCATTTCTTTTAAAATTCAACTTGCACTTTTAGTTTCATTTTATTTTCTTTGCACAATTATTTAATTGTTTGATGATATATTATTTGTGGATTAATATATTCCTTATTCAGTTTAATTTTATGTCTTTTTAAACTAGTCGACTTCATCATTCTTTGATAAAATTATTAAAATCTTACTTTTAAACACTACTAATTTTTGTAATTGATTAATCTTTCCATTTATGATCATACTTTGTGTTTAGAATAATTAAACTTTAAATTTTTCTTTCATTCCAATTTCACAAATTTCAAAAGTTTACGTGAAATGGAATGCTTATATCACTTAGTTACATGAAAGTAAAACAATATAAAGTCGAATTGCTTCTAGAAAAATACTTGCAGTGCTTTTTTTGATAATTCATTTTTATTCATTAAAAAAATGCTTTAAAATATTTTTTTTTTCACAAAGTAGAAAAAAATAAAACTTTAATAATATCATTAAATCATATCAATTAAACAGTTCAATTCATTAATTAATGCTAAATGATTAGTCAATTTCTGTAATTTGAAGTAGCAAAATCTTAAATATTTCATTATAAATTCAAAAAACAAAATAAATAAAATTTTAAATAGAATAAAAATAAATAAATTTTTTATTATTTCAAT